TTGTAAAAAAAATTTGGTTAAATTTAGTCTTGCAAAGTTTTTTTTTTTTTTTTATAATTTTAGGATTAATTAAAACCCTAAACAAACAGTGTCTTATGATAAAATGCTAACTTTATGGCAAAACTTAAATAAGTAATTACTTCTTAAAATGTATACTTTTTAGAATTAGTCCTATTTTTTTATAATTTCATAAATTTTAATTTTTTTAAAATAAATCATACTTTTATATCTTGAATCAACATTTTTAATATAAATAATATTTTTCTCTTTATCTTTTTTTAAAAAATACTCAACAAGTTAATGTTATTTGAAGTCAATATATTATTTTTAGGCCTCATCTTTTTCTTAATAATACTCAACAAGTTAGCATTTTTTTTTTGTCAAAATATCATTTTCTATAAAAAAAGTTTCTAAGATAGTTAAAAAAAATTGTATTATATGAAGTATCAAGACTTACTTTATTATGCTGTTTGAATCTATATTTCTATTTGGTATCAATTGAGATAATGTAAAATTTATGGGTAAGATAAAAAAATTTATTCTAATCATATCTAATTTTACTTTGAACAATAAAAAATTAAGAATATAGACATTTTTTATAATAATAAAAGTAGAATAATTAAGAAACTTTAAAAGTTACATACTGACATATTTCAATTTTATTTTAGTATAATTTTTCATTGCTATATTCAATGTTAAAGTATTTTATTATTTAACACTAACTAGTCGAATATTTTTAAAAGATTTATGTTACTTAAGTTAAAAATATTAATTTAAAAAATAAAATAAAATTTTACGGGACTAAAATTAAAATAAAAATTTAATAAAGATTAATTTTAAAAAAGTGTATTTTTAAAGCTAATTACTTATTTAAATTTTATTATGTGGCAAGTATGATGTAGGATATTGTTTTATTTAACCTTCACTTTACGATATTATAAGATTAAATATAATAAAAAAATTATAAAAACTAATTTATAAAATATATTTTTAAAAATTATTTAGTTATTTAAGTTTAAAATAAATTATCTATGTATTTAAATGGAAACGAATATAATACTCGCAGTCTTGTGTGGTTTTAGTCTAGTGACCATTTTTCAATCACATAAGATATACTTCTTAAATAAGTTTTTATTAAGTAAAATATAGACAAATGCTTCATGGAATTGGTATATTCATTGTTAATTTTGATTCTTTGAACTGTGTAATGATATCATACAATTTGGGACATGTTAAGGATTGAAAAGTGTTTTAAGGGGGTAAATCCAAGTTGAAGTTTCACAGCTTTTGTTTATATTGGTGTAGACATTCATTTCATAAATATGTAAAAATTAAATTTAGGTCATATAGCAGTTATCCTTTAAAGTTTTCAGAAATAAACTTTAAAAAAATTAAAATCATGCAAAGCTACTCACAGCTTAGTCCAACCATCATTTTCTTTTGAATTTGATTAGTTGATGGAATAATAATTTATGGTTAGATTTTTTTTTTTACTTTAATAAATTATTTTTCCAAAAATATTAAAAAATGGTGAATTGTGTGCTTTGTTGGTTTGATTAAATGTTCTGCTGTAACTTCTCTAATGATCCAGTAAAAATACAAGATAGATAAAGGCCTCATTGGTTTGATTAAATTTCTTCAAATACCCCATAGAACGTCTTACACATATAAGGATGCTAATTCATTTTTCTTTTATAGAATAAAAGAGAGATTTTTATAGAATAAAAGAGAGATAGGAATCAAATAGAGAGAAATTTTTTAATGTATATATTTAATTTCATTTTGATTTAATTTTTAGTATTCATAAATTTAATCTCTAAAAATCTTATATTAATTTTATTAGTGACATGGTGCTTATACATTTATTACTGAAATATTTTTAAATAACTTTATCTTTTTTAAGCATTAATATTTTATTAAAAATAAAATCTGAATGCAAGAGATACTCTAACCCATTATGTCTTTAAAAGAAATTAATAATACATGTTAAGTCAATAAATCATTAATTCAATTCATATAAATAATTGAGCTTCGCAAAGGTCATGCTGCGAGCCACTTCCAAGAACGCTATTTAATAGAATAACATTTCACTAACATTTAGTACATCGTTATTGAAGATAATATTATTCTTTTGAAGCCAAATTGTCCATACTACTGCAAACTATATCATAACAGTTTCCTTCTATTTCTTTTTTCTACATCAAATTTCACACATACTCAGTAATGTCTGATGCGAATTTTCAGGTAAGCATATATTTACACTAAATCATTCGAATACCATGTATTATAGTCTCATAAAAATATCACAATGCAAAAAAAGGTGCAGTACTTCTTCATCTTTAGTATCACAAAACTCACAAACTTCTGAAGAAATTGTCAATCTGCATTTGGTTAAATTACTCCATACTGAAATTATATTAAGTAATAGACACTATACGAATACCACTACTTTTTTCAATACATTGACCTTCCAAATTTTGCAGCGAATTGAACATTGTAGTCTTTATTAACATCACACTTTCACATTAATATATCATTCACATTTTCTCTTGGCCTTTTACCTTCCATTGTCTCTCACAACTAATGGTGTAAATTCTCCTCTCATGCAAACAATTGTCTTCTCTAAATAATTTCTTATACTCATTAGCTCATCTCAAAATATCCATTCTCCACCATTTACACATCCTTATTAGTCGTTGTAAAAAATAACCTTAAGTATGAATTTGTTAACGCAATGTTTCTCACTCATTTAAACATTTATTATTAAATTATTTTTATCCATACAGTATTAATATATTTATTATTATACAAAACTTAAGTATATTATCATAAAATACAACATTGTCTAAATATATATATATATATAATATTTTTTATTAAAAATTATAACATTTAATAATCCTAATGCATTGAATTATATTTGAATGATATAATTTTTAATAAAAAATTGCTCAAATTAAAAAATTGTTATAAGTATTATTTTTAAATTAAAATTTGTGTTTTATTTCAATAATATACATGGACCTTTAATATTAGTATCCTATCTTTAATATTTATTTTTATGGTATATATTATTGAAATAAAATTTAATTTTAATTAAAAAAATATTATTAATAATTAAAAGTTACTACTTTTGTTTATTTTTCAATAACTTCATCGATGTAGTTATTATATATCAATATAATATTGATTTTTTGGCTTTAAATTGTGCCAAACTATGTGGTGCAACTTGCATTGTCTTGTCAACCATCTCTGATCGTATCAAAATGGTGGCGCAAATTCAATTAATGACCCAATCCACCTCATTAAAAGTTATGGGGATAAAAAGACATTTATAGCTTAACTTGTGGTAAATAATGTGTTTAAGTCAAAAGTAATTATACTTTTTTAATTCTTTTCCTATGTTAACAAATAAATAATCTTATTTTATTCCTCCAATGTCTCACCAAATTTTTGTCTTAATAATTTTCAGATATGTTAAATTGCTGGCCATATAAGCATTTGTATTTTAAAATAATAATTTTTTAAATATGTGCAATATTGTACAAAATGAAAATTTATATATAAATTTTTTATTTAGTGTAATTCAATACATTATGATTATTAAATATTATAATTTTTAATAAAAGATCATTTTATGCATATATAAGTTAAAGATATTGTTTACAGAAATTAAGAAAAAAGATAATCACAGAAAAAGGTGACGTGCTATTGGAGACTAAATATCAAAGGCATATCTACCCCATGAGTTAATGCAATTAAATCACTTGTTATTTATGAACTACTAACTCTATGTATCAGCCCACAGATGCAATATAACCAGGAACCACCTTTCCAGCACCTTGTTTTAGTTAGTTTCCTGTTTTTCTCTGCCTTAGCTAATGAAACTTCCCATCAATATCCTAAATATCTAAAATTTCCTTTATTGCAAGGAAGGGTAACAAAATCAACAACAAACTAAAGCAAAAAAAAATTTCAACAACAAACAGTAGGATAGCCAATCCAACCACCACCTCGGTTAACTTTTTTATGATATGGTATTCGAGTATTTACAGGTTTAACTGACAACATCAGAACAAATCAATCAATTCAACCAATGGTTTGAAAGTTTTGTCCAATGAGAACTAGAGAATCTCAGTGAACCAGCACTCGGTTTAACTCGGATTTTATTCCGAAGTTATTTGCTATATTATGATTTTTATTCACAATACTATATTTCATGACAATAGTGAAAAGTATTTCTTGGTTATGGCTCTTTTATTAGGTGACCAACAAAATGACCCCAAGCAGCCAAATTGAAAAAACAAAAACAAGATAATTTGGTGGTAATTAAACTAACATGTGGTGTCTTTTGGTTTTAGCTTTTGGTTGTTTTCCTTCTTTTTTTTTCTTACGACATTCTTTGGTGTGACACAGAATATCCCTATAACCATAAGGTCAGAGTTTTATTTTCATGTCCACCCCCCAGGTTATAGAGTGGTTCCCAATTATTTTGCCTATTCTAATTAGGCAAAACAAAAATGCTAAGGTTTATTGAGATTTTGGAGCTAGTGGAATACTATATCTTTCAGCTCTCTCAGCAGTAAAATTTTTTAACTAGCCATGATTGCTTTCATTGGGTCACAAGGGGCATAACATGCAATCAATCATTCATCAATATTATTTCAATGCAATTCTAAAAAATTGATATTGATATACCATTCTTATCCTCACTTTTACATTTTCCTTTTTTTGGCATAAAAAAGATAATGTGTTGAAATGTATATTTTTATTATCCAATTGTATAAAAAGAAAGTAGTATAGGGAAGCGTAAGGTCTATTAAGTGCAAATATCAATACTCTTAAATACTATATCCGGCCTTAGATTCCATGACTGTAAAAGATATGCTTTTAGAAACTAATTAACGTGGCCTCCCTCAGCCTATAAATGCTAGTCTATCTGCATCATTTCCAAGCAAACACATTTAGAGCATTCTTATCCTCCAAAGTTGATTTTCGAAATGCCTATTTCCAACACTTCTCCAACCATGGCAAAGTGGCTCTCTGGAAAGATAGAATCAGTAACAAGGTGTAAGGAAGCTTTTTCTGTGCTGGTTTTTGCTGGCATTGGCGGTTCTATAGTTGAGCTATTCATGAAATCTATGGAGAGGGTTCTTTTTGCTGCATTTACCTGCATTCTGGCACTAGGTACATACGATGCATTTTCCTCATCTTTGTTTGTTAGTAGCATTCTTATGGATTGTTTGGCTTTCTCCTGAGAAATCACTATTTCGCTGAACACTGGTTTCCAAAAACATTGCCATATCATGTTTTACTTTTATATCTCATGAGGTTTTTCAAATTTTGGCTTGAGTATAGACTAAAAGAAGGAAAAATAAGAACAGGGTAACAGAATAAGATGAAATTGTGTCTTTCATCAATCCCTTGCATTGTAAAGTTATTGGCAATAATCTATGTTGCAGGAGGGTCAATAGTAGGAACAATTGCAGGAGGCATCAAAGGACAAACCACAGAAGTTGGTTTTCTTGATGGAGCTGGCAAAGGAGCAATCACAGGAGCCATTGCTGCCATGGAATTGTTAAATGTTGCTGCTGTTGATGAGCCATTGTCCAAGGTAAATACTCCTAGTTCCATACTTTGACAATAGAATGTTTCATCCTTTTTTCCAAGGCCCTACAATCATCTCAACGGTAACTAGTACTACTGGTCCCTACTTAGTCCAATAGCAATGGTGTTCTTCTAACCTCTTAGTTTCGGTGTGGAATTGCAGGTTGCCCTTTTGAACAGTTTATTAAATGGAAAAGTTTTTATGGAATGGATATGTCCAGCTGTCGCACAAGTCTATCAGTTGCATGTAAGTATTAATGTATCAGTAATGTTAGGTATTCAATACTTTCTTCATTTGGTTAGCAAGAAAATTAGTAGGAAAGTGTTCTAAGAGGACTTAGAATTGTTCTTAACATATAAAAGTTCAAGTGAATGTGAAGTTAGTGGTGTGTGGATTGGGATCAAAATTTTAATCACATTTGGTTAACTCATCGGTTTCAGATTACCACACCAGAAATAACTTATGGAGAAGTATCAGATATTTATGATATCAAGGGAATCACAGGGATGCCCCAGAATATTATTACGAAGCTTCCTTTTCAGCAATTCAACCCTAGCAAAATGTTGAAATTGTACAATATGTCTTGCTGCTCAATTTGCTTTCAGGTGAGAAACATCTCAGAGCCTTGTGAAAATGTCTTAGTTCAAGAAAGGTAAACGGTAATTGGTTTAGGGAAAACAATAAATAGATCAACATTTAATGCAAATTAAACATGGAATTGAAATTTATTATTATTAATGATGTGACTGGGACCACAATCTTTACTTTTGTTGCAAGGATTATGCATCAGTAAGTAATATTCGAGTAAGACACGAATTGGATGTACAAAAATTCAATGTTTTCTTATTAGGTCCTAAGATAAACTCCTCACAAGTAAATATTATTAATAAATTGAAACAAAATTTTTTCATGATTTTAAATTAATTTATATTTCTTTATTTTTAATTTTTTTTTATTTAACTTCTTTAAACTTAAAATTAAAAAATATTTTTAATTTATAAAAAAGTTTAATTTAAATTTAAATTATTATTTTTCTCATAGGAACTTATTCAGTAGCTTATCCAAATTGGGTCTTTGTTCATAAATTACTAAGTTCTTAGAATATGAATTATAGTCTCTAAAAGTGTTTACTATTTTTACATTAGTCCTTATTACATTAGTCCTTAAATTCTTAAAACTCTACCAATTTCTTGAAATATTCCCCGTTTGCAATATCAATACAATAACTTAGTACTATTCAACAATGATATTGATTAAAGTATTTTTTTTTAATAGAAAACATTAAATGGTGTAAAAAAAATAGCGTACCAGTGAATTTATATCATAAAACTAAACTAAACCAACTCTTTTGTCTTTACGTTTTGATTTGCAGGATTTTGAGGAAGGAGAGTTGGTGAGGATCCTTCCAAAATGTGGTCACCTTTTTCATTTAGAATGCATAGATAAGTGGCTAGTCCAACAAGGATCTTGCCCGATGTGCAGAACTTATGTTCCTGACCACATTCATAAATAGTAGTATTTTTGTTGTTGTAAAGTAGGTTTAGCCAAGTTATGTACTCTTATGTTCTAACTTAATTTGTACATAATTTACTGAAATTATAGCCAAGTTATTGCAAGTTAATTGTGATATTTTATGTAATTTTAATAAATTAATTATTTATTCAACTCAATCAAATTTAACTCTTTTAAATGATTGTTACAATAAAAGAATATCATCCCTAAAAGAAAAAGATACAGTTTATGCTCGGAATTGTAGAGCAGTGTTATCTGAAACACAGTTTAAAATGCTGATACATGAAATTTTTCTAAGACTATATAAAAGGAGTTTTTATTTTAATATTTGTTAAAAGTAATATTTTTTTCCCCCTTTGTATCGATGCTTTGTAATTTTAGAAGAGAAAAATCTTATCCTCTTTTAAGAAAAATGATTTCTCATTTATGCTATATAATTTCACTTGAGGTTTCATTCCCTTCTTCAAATAAAGAAAAAACTTCACCTTTTTTTTATTATTATGTTAAAATATGTTTTAAAACCTGAGAAATATAATTTTGTTTAAATTTCTCTTTTATTAAATAACTTAATTCCAATCAGTAGATAAAAAAGAAATTGACACTCGACAGTCAAATCTTTATATAAAACTTTTATTTTGTGTTTTATGTTGTTGAATGTTGAGTTAGCTTCTACAAGTGAACAAGATCAAAATAAAATGTCTGATTTGATTTCTCAGTTGACAAAACAGAATCCCCAGTCATTGTCTTGTTTGTTTGATGTCCCCAAATTTCCTTTAGAGGATGATTTCTCAAAGACTATTATGGTAGCAAAACTCTCTTTTTATATATACATTTAATATTGGAATAACTATAAAAAAAATGGAATTTCAACTTGCAAGGTTGTATTAAATTAAATTAAATTAAATTAAATTAAACTTGCAATAAAAAAATAATTATTGTTGTTGTATTAAATTAAATTAAATTAAACTTCTGTTGAATTTGAAATTTATAAAATGTTAAATGTATAAATTTGAATCCATCTAAACTTTTTATACCTTACTAAATATATGTACATATGATTCAGATTAAAAATTATGAAATATTGGAATGTCATGTTAGGATGGGCCCACATCTAATTTGGGCTGAGAACGAAAAAGGAAAGTGTCAATTGGGTAAATGATGGGCTAGGCCCACGATCACGAAATTAGCCCTGCGAGTGAAGACCAAAATCGTAAATGCGTGCTTGGGATAAGGGTATTTATGGAAAGTAAAATAACAAATGCTGAGACCAAAAACGAAGTCAAAGGTTGTGTTGAAAAGTTCAAGAGTGAGAGTGTGAGGGGGCGCGTGAGCGAGAGATAGAAATGGCGTCGTGGTGCGGTAGTTCGTGCTTCCAGATTCCGGCGATAGACGGCGACGCACTGCGCAACCGGGCTTTATTGGCCGCTGGAATAGGGTGCTTGTCGGCGGTGGCTGGCACCTCCTTCTGGCGTTCCTCGTCATCGTCGAAACGCTCTCTGCCACTCACATGCTTGAGCATTTCTTCTGATGCCCGTAATTTGTTTTTTTTTTTTTTTTTATGTTTTTCTCATATTTTTTCTTTTTCTTTTTTTTTTTTTCAGTGAAAGTAAAATGCATTTCATTTTCATTTTATGTCAATCATTTTTCCCCTTTGTGTGATTGTAGGTATTAAGGAAAGTGTTAAAACTGAAAAGGCCCCTGCAGCTTTGGGACCATATTCTCAAGCAATCAAAGCCAACAACCTTCTATTTGTGTCTGGTGTTCTTGGCCTTGTTCCTGAGGTTTCTCAACAAACTTCTATTTATGTCTGCTGCTTCATTTTGTTGATGATGTTAATGTTTGTTTGTTTTGCTCCTCATTGCAGACAGGGAAGTTCATATCCGATGATGTTGAAGATCAAACTCAACAGGTACAAAACTAGACATTTGCATTTTGTGATATGATATATTTATAGCAAATTGTTGCGTTGTTGCATTTTTCATGTGCATACCTAATTTGGTTGCTTGCTCGTTCATGCTTTGGATGGACGGATTATGCTGATTTTATATCGGCATTAGCAATGAGGACTCAATAGTTGTTTGGTTCTATTACTTGGTTTTCAGTTATGGTTTTCTTGAACTTCTGTTGCTAATGCTTTTTTGAAAGGCCGGGTAATATGTTTAGTAGTTTTTGTGAAATTTTGAAAGAACTTTTCAAGGGTCTAGAGATGCTAGTGAACCTAACTAAGTTGAGACCATGAACTTTTGAGAACAGATTTTGCACATGGAGCTGGTGCTTGAAACTTGGCTGTCATATGAGTGTTAAATTTGGCAATGTCCAATAAAATAATGGTGCCCACTTGTATGATCATTTTTTATGCATATCTTCTTCTTTTTTTTCTTTTTTCCTGCAGAAGTTAACAATCAATATAGAAACTATTTTCCCTAAAGGTATTATTGTTCCTGCATTTGTTGATTTTGTTTCTGACTTTTGAGAGGATTACGCGTTGTAGCTTCTCAAAAACATGGGGGAAATCCTTAAAGCTGGTGGTGCAAGCTACTCATCAGTTGTTAAGACAACAATTATGTATAAATTCTTTGCTCTTCCATATTTCGGATTTATTAGAGTTTCTGCAAGATTACTAGTTTTTGAGCATTTATTTCCTTGCAGGCTGGCTGACTTGAACGACTTTAAGAAAGTAAATGAGATCTATGCTCAATGTGAGTTCTGTATTTTCAATTCTATTATTTCCTTGACAGATTACATTCTTGCTGTAGGTGAAGCTTGCAGTAACCTGTTTAGGTGAAAAAACAAGTGCATTATCCCCAACTTTTACAGAATTTTTATTAATACATTTTGATAAAATAGTCATAGCCATCCATTTCGTGTTGCAGATCATGAAAGTCGCGTAGTGACAAACTGCATAATTATGCTAAATTGCTTACTACCAATGATTTCACTTCTAATAATAATTTATACTATGCTCGAACGAGAATGGGTTAGCCTGTTACCAGCTTTTAGATTGAAAACCTTTATTATGCTTTTTTGGGCATATACGTTTTGTTATCATATTTAATATGACATATGCTAAGGGTGAATACTAGATTAATGCAATACAATGAATCCATTAATATTGTGCTGAAATGATAAGCTTTTCATTTCCACTTGAGTTGAAATATTTATTTTTCTCGAATCTTTTAAAAATTTCAATATTTTTAATTTACCCGTTGCTCCAATGGTTTCAGACTTCCCTTCACCTTTTCCCGCTCGATCAACTTATCAAGTAGCTGCCTTGCCATTGAATGCCAAGATTGAAATTGAGTGCATAGCAACTCTGTAAGCACCAATTATAATAGAACATCCGGCTCCTTCAGCAAACTCGAGGTTAATAATGCAGTATGGGACGTGTCTTAGTATTGGAGTTTTACTTTTGCTCGTTGGATGATGATGGTCTTGTCATCACATTTACTCTAATATTTCTAGGGAGCTCTCTAATCCTTGGATTCTCTTTCAAGATTATGTGCCCATTAAAAGTTGAAAATGCTTTCGTTTCTCTGCACTCCAGATCCACGTTGAGGCTAATGTCATACACAATAGTGTCTACAACTTAAACGCCCTTAAAATATGCATTAAAATAATTATATGGTATGGAGCACACTATGTCGATGTAAATTGATTCTAAACCGTATCATTAGTTAATTATATTTGAACTTTGGTTAGCGTTGTATCTGGTTTAACGATATGTTGATATCTATAACTCAGGGTTCACTACAAATTAGACTTTTCAAGTCAATCTTGCTTCTTTTTGTAGCATTATCCCTTGCCTAGTGATTTTTCAAATTTTGCTAACATTATTCTTGAGTAATGTGTATTTTATTAACGCAAATGTTAAGCCATTTTGTTTTATAGTTTTATTTTTCATAACTTCCTGTGCTAACAAATCTCGCTTTAATCAGCAGATTTTTTGCAAAACTCAAATCATCTTCATCTGAGACTAAGTTAATCAATGCAATCTTGAGAGTACTTGTCTTTGAAGGTTTATCTAAAATCTTTATTTCATCTTCTAAGGTTGATAATTATGGTGAGAAAAAAATTCTAAGAAACTCATTTACATTAAAATAGACTTAAGTGCAACTTATACTAATCTTTCGAAGAAGTATGAATATATTTTAAAATAATATATATATATATAACTAAACCGTAGTGCATGAAACGTTAGAGTAGATGTGCAAGTGTCAGTTTTGTGTTGAGCTTCAGAATGAAACTTCTAATCGAGATTCGATTACTGAGTCGTCCTGTCGGTGTTGATCCAGGACAAATTATTAAAAGTAAATTTTAAATAATTTTAATATTAATAATCATATTATTTTATACTTATATTTATACTTTAAAATATATAATGTTAAAATAAAATTGATTGGTGAAGAATTAACTATTTCGTAAATTATATAAAATTTTATAAACTTGAACTATTTAATATTAGCATTCAATTTAAAACTCAAATTATTAAAATTTAATATCGATAAAAGGGTTGAATAGAGTAAGTTGATTAATAGTTATTTTTAGAATAAGTGGATCATCACCTATAAAAATAAGTGATTATTTTTAAAATAAATTAAACAAAGCAGACAATTAATTATAAACTAAATTATTTAATAGTTTTTTTTATTTTTAATGTTTCAAAGAATAGAATTTATTTTTGAAGCTTTTAAGAACGAAAATAAAGAATTGATTAAGGTGAAATCTGAAAGATTGTGGAAGGAACAAAGTGGGGGCAAGGTGAAAGCGTGAAGAAAAGGACGGTGGCATCTCAAAATGGCAACTTCCATTAATTTTTTGACGCATAAAAGAAAAGGAGAAACCCATCTCATCCCATTTCAACTTCAAATACCAAATACCAAACCCAACACACACACACACAAACAAACGCTCTCTACATTCTCTTCTTTGGTATTCTTCTTTTCAAACCAATTTCCATTCCATTCCTTAGATCTCCATTTCCACATTCAAATCACTTGTCTCTGTTTCTTCATTCCTTTTCTTTTTATTTTCATTCTTATACTTGGGTTCCTCTAAAAATTTGAACTTTCATTGTATTATTAATAAATTCTAGGTTTTTTTTTTTTCCTTTCCCAGCTTTTAATTGAGAAACACAAATTATTGGAGTTGATATCATCTTGGATTTTGAAGTATGGTTGTGATTGATTTTCAGGGTGGTAGTTATCTAGAATCTACATCATGGAAGGTATTGTGGTGAGAAGAGTTATTCCTTCAGATAACAGTTGCCTCTTTAATGCTGTTGGGTAAGCAATGGAAGACAAACCCTCTTGTTTTCATCGGATATTGGTCCAAGATTTCCACCTGTAATGTTCTTTCTCTACTTTATTATGTTTTTAACTCAATTCAGATATGTTATGGATCATGACAAAACCAAAGCTGCAGAGTTGAGACAGGTAATTTTTCTTGTATTCATTTTATTTGCTTCTTTCCTTACATGTTTTCTCAATTTACTCAATTCATTTTACACCATTCAAATAAGATATCCAACATTCCAACTTAAATTGAATTTACTTTGGCTTACCTATAACTTTGCTTGTTTCTATTTGAAATAGTTTCTTAAACCAAAAATTCACTACAGAAGTTTTCTATTTGTCATTTGTGGAACAAATATTCCTTGTAGATATATTTTATCAAAACTCGGTGAAAAGAACTTTTGGAAAACTGACAATTGGCTTTCCAATTTTTATAACGGTTACATTACAACAAATGCAAAGGATGAGTGAAACACGTAGATATGAACGTTTTGCTTTGCCATAAACCAATGGCTTCTAGTTTTTTATTAGTATTACTATTCGTGTAGTGTATGGAGGACTTTGAAATATTATATAAGGCTCTGCAACAATTTTTTCACCTTCTCTGGTTTCCTGATGTAGGACTTAAGTAAATCTCCATATTTTATCATCAATTCATCACAAGTCCCTATGTTATGGTCCTTCGAGTGCCATGCTGTACCACTCAATGCTGTCCAAGGAATTACTTGGGGCTGAAAAGTGTGTCATAATGAAATACTTTTGTTTTCATATGACATTTGACTGTCTATCATTTAAGAACTACCCATGTTATATGGATTTGTATCCTCTCCCGTCCGTTGTAGCAAGAACTAGATATCCAATTCTATTTTTGTTTAAGTAAGTCTAATTGTAGTCAAAGCTGGATGTTCAATCTCATTTTTGCTTAATTGAAAATGGACTCGTTTAAGCAAAAATGAAAAAAATGACAAATTTTTTTTTACACAAAATTCGCTTACTGTAAAGGGAAGAGAGGACTGGAAATGGGTGAAGATAAGGAAAGTAGGTGGTATAAGGGTGGGGAGAGAGGGGATGGAGGAGTTGGGTATGAGGAGAAGAGAGGGGAGGTGGGTATGGGATGGGGGTGAGGGTGAGAGTGGAAAGAGAAAGAGGAGAGTTGGGTATAGGGTGGAGGTGACAGCGGGAGAAAGAGGGATTTGGGGAGGAAGAGAGGAGTTGAGTGTAAGAGGAGGAGGAGGAGAGTTGGAGAGGAAGTGTTATATATGAGAGAGAGGGAGAGGAGAAGAAAGTCGACGGAAAAGACGCAAAATTTGCTTAAGTGATTCTAGAATTTGTTTAAGTGAATTTTGCGTAAAATATTGTCTTTTTTTTTTTCCGCTTAAATAAGTCTATTTTCAATTAAACGAAAATGAGACTGGATGTCTAGTTTATACTACAACTGGAGAGGATCTGTATCCATGTTATACCCTTGCATTGCCTAATATCTTTGCACTTTGAGTATTTTATTAGCATCATTTATTACATATTTTGGCTTAATATTTTTTGTGATATTTGGCTTGTTAAAGGTGATAGCTGCAACTGTAGCAAGCAATCCAGAAAAATATTCTGAAGCATTTCTTGCGAAGCCAAATGCAGAGTACTGTAACTGGATTCTTGACCCGGAGAAGTGGGGAGGTTAGCAGACCTATGTCTTCCTAATCGTGGCTGTTTTAAATAAAAATAATTAATAGAAATATTTACCCATTTTTTCTCTGCAAGTTGGAAATGCTACTTTTGGTGTTGTATACTGTGGTCAATGTATGAATGTATAACCTCTAGCGTGGATAACTCATTTTTATTTGGAACTTGGAAGATGATGAAACTTACCTGAAGATAGGTTGATTTGGCATCTTAAATATCCACCTTTTTGGTATTAAAATTTGCTAACGTAAGTATAATACAAAGCATATATGAGTGAAATAGATTACTTTCCTGCAACTTTAAGAGGCATAAAGATCTAATTGAAGTATGGAAAACTTTATTTAAACATTTGGATACCCAGACCATCATCTGCAACAATTTCCAGGACATTGTTTTCATTACTAAGATTAGGCTTCTGATATAAAATTTGTGGATCCAAATTTTGTAGTTGATTTGTGTGACATGAGTTTCAAAGGGTATTTCAAACTCTCCTGGTGGCAATTTTAAAAATGAAGCACTATTAGTTTTTCATTAGTTTGCTGTGCTAATCAAGCTCTATATTCCTTTGTGAAGGCGCAATTGAACTTTCAATATTAGCAGATTATTACAAACGTGAAATTGCAGCATATGATATTCAAACAACACGATGTGATTTGTATGGTCAGGTTAGCCACTTTGAAGCATTCTATATGCTCTTCTCAAGTTTTCAATCTCCTATAACTGAACTTCTTCATTCTCATTTTGGTGAATACTTTTGACAGGAAAGTAACTATTCTGAAAGAGTTATGCTGATATATGATGGTCTCCACTATGATGCATTAGTGGTATGTAATTTCAAATTCCAGAAATTATTAAAAATCATTTATTCATTCTCTTTCATGCCTTCTTACTGTGGATTGAGAGTTGAATTGTGAGACTGCAAGTGTGTGCTGTTCATATTTATCTACTACACATGAAACAAATACAAAATTAAGGTTCATATGTATTTTTCATTTCCATGTTGCCTGATGATAAATTGCACCTTGTATGGTTAGATGTCTCCCTCTGAGGGAGTTCCTGAGGAGTTTGATCAGACCATATTCGCCGTACAGAGAAACAGAAGCATTGGACCTGTTGAGGGGCTTGCTCTAAATTTTGTTAAGGACCAACAAAGGTAGTCTGCAATTCTTGTTGAAACATAACTTGAATAACTGGAACAAGATCATCATATTTAGATTATTGAATAGCATAGATTTTTGGTTTTTTTTTATTTTTATAATTTATAGAAGGTTTCTTTTGGCATGCATATTTAGGGTTTCAGAGGACTTAGGGTGCATTTGGATTGCGAAATTGTTTTCTGTTTTTACTAATAATTATAAAAATTATTACCTTGTTTTCACCTTTCATGTTTTCGTGCAAATCTTTGAAAGCAGATAACAAAGTGAAAATAAAGTGACATTTTAATAATTATTAATAAAAACTGAAAACATTTATGCAAACTGAATGTGGCTTTGTTTTTTCGATTGAAAACCAGAACAAAGCAGTGAATGAGCTGCCAAGCAGTTGAACTATACATATCTCGACTGTGACAAGCTGAAGACTTTGAAATTTCTCTTTTTATGTTATCAAACCAAACATCTCTCGTATGCAAATTTTTCTAAGTAAAAGTGCCTAGTTTGTCTATATTGTGTTTGCCAATAGGAACAAATATTTTAACCTTGTGACAATAGGAGGGAAAGTCATTTAAACACCCCCCTTGATTTTTCAAAGCTTTATTCTGAATTTAAATTGGATATCATGTCAAGTGGATTCTCCCAATGCTAATATTGTGGCTGCACTTTCTCAGGAAACGGAGTTACACTGACACTGCCAATTTCACTCTGCGCTGTGGGATATGCCAAATTGGAGTAGTTGGTCAGAAGGTCATTCCCCAGTTCGTGATGCTTTGCTATATGATGTTACCCACCTTAGCCATATTCATCTCTTATGATTCTGAATGCTGATTTTTCTGTGAACATTTCAGGAGGCAGTGGAGCACGCCCAAGCAACAGGTCATGTTAACTTCCAAGAATATAGATGATACACTGCATGACACAAACTTGTATTGTAATCTCAGTTGATTTGCTGAAAAGATAGTTGCTTTGTTGCAGACTGTATAACTTTTTCATTTTACTCAGTGATTAAACAGAATAACTTCTGCATGAGAATTGTTGCAGCAAGTTGTGTTGTAATAATAATTCCTTGGTTTTGGTCCATAATCATTGTGATTCTTAGAAACCCTCTAGATATAAAAAATAATCAATAATCTTATATTTTTTTTTTTATATCTTCCATTGACTACAGTTGTGGTTGTAGTAAAATTTATCAAGGCTATAGTCATCTTTTGAGCTAACTTTTAAAGTTAAGTTGAACTTCAATTTTAAAATAATCTTAAAAAGTCTGTGGTAGATTCAATATTAGATCAAAATATTAATATCTTACAATTTTTTTAATACAATTAATTTAGCTTCATGAATGTCTTAGTGTAGTGCAGAGTTTCCTTCTTTTTTTTTTTTTTTTTTTTGAGTTATGTCAAAGTCAAATTTAACATATGTAATCCCTGACAAAATAAATTTACAAACTTTTTCAAGTTCACAAGTTTGAGTGTAAATTATAAATTTAATATGTTGGTTAATATTGCGAGAAAATGGGTTGTTTGTTATTAATAAAACAATGCAAGTGTTTTGATTTTGTTGCACTTTTTAAAAATAAAAAATGCAAATTTTTACATTTTTCTAAAAGTACAGGTAAAGTAGAAGGATTTTTTAGTTTGAATAAATTATTTTTCTTACTTTCTCTTCAAGCACTTGGAGAAAAAGATAAATCTAATGATATCAGTAAAAACATTTTTTTTAAAAATGGTAAATAAGGAAAAAATTTGAATAACGGCACTTCACTTGTAACTAGATGAAAAATGGTAAAATAATTCGGTAATTAGATAGTTTCCTTTACTTCAAATTAAAGGAATGTTTGGAAGAATTTATGAAGTTTATTAAAAATTTATTTTTTTAAATTTTATTTTAATAAGTTTCTTAAAATAACTTAGTAAAAATAGAGGTGTCTTTACTTGAATTCTGAGGAAGCAAATACACGCACAAAACTCTTACATGTAAGTAACATTATTTTTAACATGCTTTATTACTAATTAAAATTTATTAAAAAATATAAATTTATATCATTCTCACTTTTAATTTAATAAATTTCAATGAACCAGATCTCCTCCTCTCTTGTTCCTTTTCATACGAAAGACTCTATGGTAGTTACCACCTCAAGGGTGATTTGTTAATTGTTGTTGGACCTATATATATTTCTTAAGTAGTTTTCTTAAAAAAAATTTATATAAGACCTATATTATTAATGCAATGTTCCATAACAATGAGAAAAGACTCTAAATGCCACTACAAATGAAACATGGTCGTCATCCCATATGCTTGTCTATTATCATACTACAACTTGTTTTAATTTTTAACCTCTTCTTCACTTTGATCTTTTTTTATTATGCACATTTATCAACACATTTATAGTATTAATAATTGAATATCGATTCCTTTCATTCCTTTACAATTGTAGCAGATACAAGAAGATAATGCAACATATTTCAATATCATGGGTGATGATGATGGGCAAGTGGTCTTTATTTTGAAAAAACAATTAGAAGATGGTGATATATCACGTCAACTGAACACTACTCTTTAACTATACCCATGTAAGTACTTTATACAAATACAAATATTGTCATCTTAATCATAAATTGAGATCGTGAGGGTGACGTATTGTGTGCGTATACGAATGTGCATTTTAAAGCCAATGAGCCAATATATAACACATGAACATCGTATCAACTAATGAAAATATATATATTGCAGAATCCTTAATATATACCTTATTACTTATCATGAAATAATTATTCAATAAATATTCTTAACTTTTAATACAATCCAATTTATTTTTTTAATAAAACCTTCCTTAATCATCTTTTGATATATCAATTAAATAAGAGAATGCTACAAAATGAAAAGTAATGTAATCTGATACATCTGTGTTTCTAAAATTTTTAAAAAAAAATCTGTTGAATTACTTTTTATTTTTGTACATAATCTTAAATGATCATTATTTTAACATTGAGGAAATAGTAATTTGTTGTTAATAACAAGATTTTGTGGTTCAAACAATCAAACTTCAAAGTACAGCCGGCAGATTATAAGACACACATTTGTGGTGAGAGCAGTGTGAAGTCAATGAATAAAATAAATTTGAGGTGTTATGCCTATCCACAAAGTTCTCATTAATTCACGATCGATCAACCACCAAATTTTGATAGTGACGATGAAGAGATTTAGCTGCCCCATAAATTTTGGAAAGTTTTACATTATATTAAAAAAATTAGAATTATGTAATGCTAATTTGGCATCTTTACCTACTCCAAAGTTAGTATCAAGTTATATAAAGACATGATGAATACAAATCTTACGTAGGTTAGGAGATTAGGAGATTTGGATCTTCTGCCATGGAAATTTTACTGCACCAAATTCATGATAATTTTTATTATTTATTGTACATAAGCATTTAGACTATTCAGTGTTAAGGTATGGCCTTGGTACTTTTCACATCCGTTTGATTGGAAAAGAAAATTGCATCAAAAGTTAAAATTTCCGAAGCAAGTTTTTTTTTTCACTAATATGCATAATGAATTAATAACTGAATTCATTTCAAAATTGTCAATACATATCTCTACTATTCGCAGCACTGTTAATTGTAAGAATGTTTTGCAAGTTCAAAGATGGGCCATATGCGAGTAATGTTAGGCAATGTATATGCGTTGAAAAGAGAGCATCTCATAATTTGTTGAAAATCACATCAGTTTTGAAGACATAACACTAGGTTAAGGTAAAGAAATTCTGTAATCAAGGTTCATTTGAGTAGTGAACTCGGCATCACGTGTTTCTTAAAAATTGACTCTTTAAAAGACCGTAAAAAAACCACTTTACCTTTTTGTTCATAATAGTTTTGACTACCTCACTATCTCACCACTAATCCACCGTTTAACTTTACTACATACAATATTTCTAAAAATAAAAAGGGTCATCCTCAAATGATAGACACGGACAATCTCAATTATAGAAATTTAAAAAAAATATTTTTTTTTCTGTTCCAGATGACAAAATCTCAAAAAGCAATTCAAAAATACTTTTAAAATATATTCACAACTTTTACACATTTTTTATATCTTAATTTAGAAATTATAGTTTATCCATATCTATTAACCAGCGTCAATACTCAATGGTAACCGGAAACACGTCAACTTCAATGCTGCTACTAATTTATAAACTACAAGTTGGTAAATAATTACAAAAGCGAATCCAAAAAGCACTCATACCATTCATTCATCATTCAAGTTGAAGAATGATATTGAGAGTGGTAGCCACCCTGCCCACAACAAGGTACCCATCCATTCAAAACTCATTACCCAATAAAATCATTCAATAATCGAGATTTGAGAAACAAGGGAAATGTAAAAGCAAAGTAATTAAATGAAACGAAGCTCATTTCATATATATATAGAGAGAGAGAACCAAAACCAAAAGGGTACTCAATTTTTGGTATTTACAGAAAAAGCAAAAACTTGAAGCACCCACACTGACCCTGGTTAAATAATTTCGCTCTATTTTGAAGAAGCAGGATTGACCCAATAGGCTCAATACACTGCTCCATGGATGGGACCCAATCTAATCCTCTGGAATGCTTTGCAAAGCAGGCCTCCATGGACGGTGTTTCATCAATTGGGCCAAAACCTCTTCAACCCTCAACTCCTTCACGTCCACTTTACCGACTAACTCTTCTAACTGCTTCTTTGTGATCTTTATCTTCACCTCCGTTGTCCTTTTCTTACCACCGTTCGGTGCTGCAAAAGAACCACCCTCCTCCGCCGCCGCAAATTCATCCCATTCGTCGTCGTCGTCGGTGGCGGATCCGGTCGACGATTGGTGCCTTATGCAGTTCCCCATTTTCTGGTTCTGAAATGCTTCGTAGTTCGAAGAGAGAGAGAGAGAGAGAGAGAGAGAGAGTGGGAGTTGGCGATATATATAGCAAAAGGAAAAACTGAAATGCGAAACATGTGAAAAGGTCAAACCTAATTTATGCCACGTAGGATTCATACGTGGCATGCGTGGGACCCTATGTCTTCCACCGACTAAATGCCATGTGATGAGTTCGCATTCGAGCCGACTTATATCCACTGGCGGCTGGCTTTGGCTTTACTTTTTTCTCACCAACCAATTGTTTATTTTTTTTAAAAAAATAATATATATCAATTATGTATTTATTATAATTAAATTACATTAATTTCATTATTTTTGTATTTGCAATTCAAGGACGAAGTAGTACCTATTTTTATATGTACAGTTGAGGATGTGAAGAACATGTTTTTTTTATATGTTTTTATTAATTAAAATTTATTCAAATCTATAACAATACGAAAGAAAAATTATTTTAGGAAATAATATATATATATATATATATATATATATAATATAAAATATGCTACCAGCATTTTTCATGTATTTTGAATTATGACGAAGCCAATTATTGTTTAATCATGAAAGTGAGGAAAAAAAAAGTGTCAAAATAGCATTCTTATCCTAAAATTTTGAATATTGCTAAAGCATGGGTACCATTACCCTTTGCGCGAGCAGTGAAGCCATAAAGAGCCACAAAACAAAAGTCTACTACAGTTATGCAGCCACAATTTAAAATGTTTCTTTAATGTTTAGGTGTGAACGGGGACTAAGATTAGAATCTACCATCAACTTTTTTAATCAACACTCTACTCTTATTTTTTCATCATTAACAAGTGTGTTATTATAAATAAAATTATATTTTTGAATAATTAATATAACTATATTCATTAATATTTAAATTCATATCATATGCCAAAGTTGGAAAAATATTTATCAATTAATTCACATTTTAGATGATAATTAAAAATAAAAATTCAGAGTGATTTATAAAAGAAGAGGTGGAATTAGTTGGGAAGGTTTTGGGTGTGAAAAGGGTAAACATGGAATCTTAGGAGATCTTTCAAATCAGAGGGGCACGTCAAGTGTGAACACAAATGAGGGAAAGGAATCTCAGACAGAAGGTGCAGTTTGGTTAACGTTCTTCAGTTTCCCCAATTCGCTGACCCCAACACACTTTTTATTTATCATAACTCTAATTATGAATGAAGCTTATATGTACTCCCTAAATTATCATCAAAATAACGCTTTTCATATAAACAATGAATTAGTCAATTCACAAATCTATCGTGGTTTGCAATTTTACTTGAACTACCTAAGAAGCAAATGGTTGACTATATGCTAAATTTCGCTTTTATTCACATTCTATAATAACATTATCGATACCACGTTCAACTTTAAATCACTGCGAAAAGAATCTTTGTTACAATAGGCAACACAATTCATATCAATTTTAATAACAAGGATCTTGCTAATAAAACCATTTTGAAAATGATTCAGATTACTAAGTATATATTAGAACGCATTCACTGTTTTTGTTGAATTTTATTGCAAATTAAAAAACATTGACCACATAAAATATCCATATAGCCAATATTGGGTTAGTGGAGTTGAACCACTTCCCCTCTTCCCAATTACAAAAGCTACAATCCATTGCTTATGAAAGTGGTTGGTGGGTCTAAGTGGGCACCCCTACACCCACTTCCACATTATTTGTCCCATTTGCTACTTGCCACTGCCTTAATCCTAAATCATTGTAAACTCAGTATGTATAGTTTATATACATACACTCAAAAAATATTTGGGGTCCATGCAAAAATTGATGATTTTGGTAACTTTAGTCTTAAGAGCTATGTTTAAGTATTCCTATATCAAAAAAATTAGAAATACTTATTATTTTTATAAAAGTTTACTATTATTAGTTCTAAACTCTTGAAACTAAGGTTAACAAAAAATTAATTAAAGTAAATTTACATGGTCTACTTTGGTTGACCTTGCTACCCACGTGGAACGAGCCAATTGAACCTTTATTGGCCCCCTTGTGAATGCTTGATCACTTGCTGCCCTCACGGTATACGTGCAGCCATTTATGGCTTTATGCATGCAAATGTTGGGCGCCATGTCAATCTTTAATTATTTATGTGCCAATAGTTCTTATTTTCATTGTTATATGATCATAGCTTTATAATTTGTTGAATGTTGACCACTATATTACCCTTGACTTCTAAGTCTTTGTTAAGGATTGGTTAGCTGTAGTCTTCAGCTAAAATATTCTTTTCATTTGGCTTTCATGTGCCAACTTCGAGTGTAGACTCAATTTTTGGTTTAGTAATGAATTTCATATCGTTTTGCCAAAGACTCGTGTTAATAATTAAACTGATCTTAAATGGAAAGCAATCGGTTTCTAGCTATACTAATTAACTTTCCTCAATTATAAACTAATAATAGTCACCGTATATTAGATGTTGATTGCTCCTTATTTACGCTATATATATCAATTCTTAACTTGGACTTGTAAAGCACACTAGGTTGATGTTGAATCTTTCAACTTTCCACGTTTTAGGATTAATCTTAGTTGTACCAAAGTTGAATGATCAAAGTAATAAACGGCGGTTTATTTTAAGCATAACCTAACGAATATGAAAAACAAGTTAGAAATATTGTAATAACTTCTGAGTGTTATGTATGTTGAAATTTGCTGAGCATGCCGCTGATTTTTGTTTGTTATTTGACTGATATTGCAAATAATTAATTACTGTTATTTATATTGCCAATTTGTTATATATAAATACTTTTTAATAGCAATATAAATGCATGAAGTATTATAACGAAGTACTCTAACCCATGTACAAAAAGTTCAGAGATTGCAAGCTTTGCATATTAATGTTGGTTGCTTGTATAAACAGGATTTGGAATCCCAATTAATTAATTCATAACAAGAACATTGTTTCCAGAGTAAAATTATGTTGGAGAACCAAAATAAATTAGATTAATTAATCCCAATTAATTAATTCTCATAACGATGCCTGTAATAGTCGAGAAGATGGTTGAACAATGATTGATTGTTGAAAAAACATGGCACTTGATAATAGTACATGGCAAGGCCATAATGGTTGGAGTTAGATGAGATTAAGAGTCAAAATGAATTGTTACAGATAAAAATGGGTTAAACCATGTCCTAATCAACCCGTTTAATTTTAACCCACTAATTAAAATTCACAAGTTGAACAGTTGCATGTTGTGACTCATTTTTTAGGCGAGTTATTTGAAGTTTTATCACACACCTTGTTAATTCAGTAACGGGTTTGAGATTTTAAGTAATGGAAATGATTAAAAAAACTTTTATTTTACACGAAATAAATAATACGATAAAAATTAGTATATAGACAAAGTTAGCATTATCTATTTTATACTATAAAAGAAGTTACACTTTTTATTTTTTGTCATATCATCTGTTTTTATTCGGTTCAGCCCAGTGTACTAGAAGTTACACTTATTTCTTAAGCTAATGGGCTTAATCCCAGTCCAGTGTCTATGGGCCTTAGAACACTTCAAATCCAATTCTTTTGCAGTTCAATTATTCTACCGATGAACAATATCCTTTAAGAAATATTCATTTGGCTTTTGTGAACGCGTCTTAAAAAGTTAAACTTAAAAAAAATGAGTAATTATAATCGCAACTATTTCCAGGAAATTACCAAACCAGAATCATTATCTCATTTTCCCTTTTGCGTGAAGAAAACTCCACAATCTGTACACTATGACTTTTAAAGATTCGTTAATTTTTAATAGGTTAAATGTAAATAAATTATGAGAATGTTAACAGGAAAACTATATTATTACTATTGCGAATAATAATAATTATCATATATTAAGTTATGTGTTCTTGAACTTGAATTTGTGCTCGGTGGAACAAACTAGGCCATGTATTTTTCAGGATAATTTTATAATTTCAAATCTCATTAATTTAATCACTATATTTCAGATCATCGAAAACAAAATAATATTTACCTTAATTTAAAACCATTTAAATTCATAGGATATTTTAATTATAAAAAAGAAGATACTTTATAAGGTTTTTGAATTTTATATATATCTCCCCATTTAAGAATAACATAAAATATGTGAAAGTTTAGGATATCAAAGATATTTCATGACGTGTCACTCTTTGATGCATTATTTTTTGTAATATTCTAGACGTTACAATCCAGGCCAACGCAATAACATAAGTGGATTTTAATGTTATTTTACCTGAATTGACGTTTCTATCCTCTAATTTTTTGTTGTTGTGGTAAGTTAGCATGGGGCTTTTAGTCTTTTACACTTGATGCCAGCACAGAAAGAGAGAGCGTCATCGTTCACAGACTCGGTTTTTTTTTTTTTTTTTTTTTTTTTGCAGTGATCGAATCCTCATCTTCAATTTTCATTCTCAATCCTCAGCCACCTTTCCCATTTCTCTCTATTCTCCTCTCACTGTCTCGCTCTCACTTTGGGTAAGTTTCTTCATCGTTTTTCTCACCTTTCTCTTTTCCAATTACATGCCATCTTTCATTTCTCAATTCAATTTATCACCTTTCCCTCTTCCCTTTAATCTATAAGGGAAAGGGAATTGTGGATCACCTTTATTTCTATACAATTTTCCTTTTTTGTGTTTAAAAAATTTTGCTTTATTATTATTATTGTATTTGTTTTTGTATGGAGATTGATTCAAGTAATTTGTTGAAGGGTTGAAGATGAGAATTTGTGGAGCAGGTATGGGTTGGTTTTGGATTTCAATTTTTGGCTGAGTTATTTTCTTCATGTAACTAAAATCACTTCTGTTAACAATTCTGGGTCATGTGAGTTTGGTTTTATTTTATGTATTTTAAGTGATTCTGTTGCAATTCCCAATTTTTGTGAAACATTGGAACATGTTAGTTACATATTAGGCAAGCCAGCTGTCTGCATGAGAAAATATAAATTTATTAGCATAATTTTTGACCCAACACCCATATCCATTTGTTGTCCAGCTAGCCTTACGGGAATATCTATGAATTAAGTAATATTTGTTGTATGATTATATTTTCATGTATAAAAGAAAAAAATATCAGCTAAATTTTTTATTTGGAAAACAAATTGTTGTATGACTCTGCAGCTTCTAGTCCATGTTACATATAAGAACAAGATGCAGAACGAGAATCAGAGGAATGAACATATGGTTAGGATTTGAGCATAAAACGATGGGAGTTTTAGTTAATGAGTTATTTTGAAACCTGGTCATCTGTATAAAATTTAAGGCATGTTTGGTTTGAGAAAGTGGTTTTTGTATTTAATTTCTTTACTTTTGTTTCTTGTTTTTTATTTTCAATGAACTGTACTCATTGGTTTTAGAACGAATCTTTGAATACAGGAGACAAAGTAAATATGAGATGGCATTTTTCTAATTATTTGTAAGAATAGAAAATAAAAACACAAAATATATTTTTCAAATCAAACATGTGCTTGCTGAAGATTTTCTCTTTTCATTCTCATAAAAAATTGTTCTCTCAATTGACATGTATGTATGTGTATACGTTATTCATCATTCATGTTAGACTGCATACCCCATCTACCTTTGTCAGAGAATTGAGTATTATAATAGTTTAAATGATTCTTGATCAGTGTAAGACTTTTTTTGTTATCAATAAAAAGTGTTGTATGCATATAGTAATAAATTGTAGCACCATAAGGTTCGTTGATTCAACATTAACTTTTAAGCTTTCAGTTATTTGTTCAATTTTGTTACTTCATTTTTCTTGGTATCCGTAATTGGTGGCTCTTTTGTTTTTTCCTTTTTCATATGTACAAGAACATTTTGAAATTGATTACTTTTCTAGAATATGACTCTCATGTTACTCAAACTCTTTAGCAGCAACCAGCAGCTGCTACACCACCACGTCCAATTCCCTTCCAGTGTTCATTTCTTCTTCCCTCTCCAGTCCTACCAAAACCAAGTTCCTGCCATCACTTTCTAGATTTTCTGTCAAGCGTTCTTGCTTCTTTTCTGAAACTCGTCCCCGTGTTGCTGTGAACAAGCCCTCCATGAACCTGTTGAATAGACTTGGGTTTGGCAGCACAAGGGCACCAGAGAGCATGGATTCATCCATTGCTCAGGGACCAGATGATGACATACCTGCACCGGGCCAGCAGTTTGCTCAGTTTGGTGGTGGTTGCTTTTGGGGTGTTGAATTGGCCTTTCAAAGGGTGCCTGGGGTGACTAAGACAGAGGTTGGTTATAGCCAGGGGCTTTTGCATAATCCAAGCTATGAGGATGTGTGTTCAGGGACCTCAAACCACTCAGAGGTTGTAAGGATCCAGTATGATCCCAAAGAATGTAGCTATGAGACTCTGCTTGATGTGTTCTGGGCTAGGCATGATCCTACCACTCTGAATAGACAGGTATATATAGAGTTTTTCATTTGTGTTTTTTACCTTGTTATGTAAAATTATGCATTACTTCTAAAGTTAAACATTTTGCTGACGCTTTTGCATACCATGCTGAATTTGTCAACAGCAGTTGCCAGTACTTAATAGATGCATTTATGTTTTGATAAATAGTCATGTCTTGTTTTTGTAAATTCTGTTGAACTTTGGGTAAAAATTGGTTGAACCATCTTTAGAACACCAAGAGACTTATGCTTGTCCTGCATGACCTAATTTTTATCATAAGATTGAATCGGTATGACACTGGGCGGATTATGTCTCTTTTCATTGTACACACTGTTACTCCATATATCAATTGCATTTGGAGTTCATTGCAAATGCTCGTTTTCACTTGGTTTTCATTGCGGCAATGAACTAGTTCCAACTTCTCGTTTCCCTTTCGAAATTTTTGCTTCCAACTGTGGTTCTTCCTTCAAAACAAAATTCAATTTTTATTTGTTGGCCGCATGTATTTTATGGTCCTCCCAAATGACTCACGAGCATCCGAAAGACCATTTTGATATGGAACAATCTATTTCCTTTAACTACATTTTTCCCTTGTCCCTTGTTTCTTTTTCTGTTCAAGTCAATTTTTACTTGTGTTCTCTTTCAATATGGATACTTTTCTTTTCTGCTATTCACTCTCTCGTTTGAATCCATGATGTATGTACGAACTTTTAATCATACGATAAGTTATGACATTCTGCCACTTAAGGGCTTAGTTACAGTTTGATCTTCCTCTGTGACAGGGAAATGATGTGGGAACACAATACAGATCTGGAATATACTACTACACGCCGGAACAAGAGAAAGAGGCTAGAGAGTCTTTGGAACAACAACAGAAGCAGCTGAACAGGAAGATTGTCACTGAGATCCTTCCTGCCAAGAAATTTTACCGGGCGGAGGAGTATCATCAGCAGTACCTTGAGAAAGGTGGTCGATTTGGTTTCAAGCAATCTGCTAGTAAAGGGTGCAATGATCCAATCCGGTGCTATGGTTAATTTTTAAAAGTGAATTACCATCAAGGATTAGTATGACTGGTTCTTTAGATATTGAAGGTCGATAGAGTTTTGTTAGCAAGTATTTGTTAATAATATATCAACAAAGCTTATGCAAATTGTATTGGAGGTTGACGATGCAGACATAAATTCAGGTGTAGGGTTGTATATTGTCTTTTATATGTAATATAATTTTGTTATGAAGTATTATCTTGACAACCTTTAAGCATCATATCTAGTTGAACACAGTCTCTTGTTTCTGGATTAGTAGCTCAACTTCTTTTCATCTAAGAATATTTCTCTCAAAAAAGTAGTTCAACATTTTACAGTTTCAAAATTTGCTTTGTACAAAACATTAGAGCATTATTATGTAAAAGAAAGACCAAGTTTATTGTAGAAGGAAGTCAAGGAATTGTCATTAAGAATGCATCAAATTTTTTTGGTTGTGTCTTTGTTCTTGTTTGTAGGACTTTCTACTGTAGGAAACGGAGAGGTTAGGTATTAAAATTGACCTTGCAAAATACAAACCAATAAGACAAAATGAGTATTCAGAATTTGCACGTCTTTGTTGGCTGTGGCTGCTAATAGTTCCCCAATTCATTCCACCCCTGCATAAAAATTTCCCTCTTAATGGGGTATGGAACCTCCCAAGTACAACATTTCAGTGCATTCTTTATGGGAAAGGCCATATTTATAATTATTTTTCATAAAATATTTTAAGGGTCAAGATATTATCTAGTGAAAGAGTTACTGGAAACAATCTGTACCCCTCTTGATGGGTTGACTTTCAACATTTTTATATAGTACAATTTTTTGAAAACTTGTATATCTATTTTTATATAATATATGTGAATATTTACCTGCTTTTGGATGATTATGTATTTTTATATTTGGCAATCCTTATTTTTTGAACTCTTGTCTCAAATAAAAAATAAATTATTTGTTCAATTGTCCCATCAATAAAATTACTTTTTAATAAATACTCTTTTAATTAAACTAACTTTTATTAAATATTTATATGCATATATTTAATCGATGTTTATTAATGTACAGTGTACTTGGTTTGCTTTAGAAGTCGGAATTGTTAATGGTATATACTGAATTAAACTGTGATTAAAAGCTAACTTTGTTGAGATCATAGTTGAGAGACTGTAAACAAAGGTCTGGTGTTTGGAGCATTGATTTTGGGCACATACACATAAAGATATACACATACATCAAATTTTGTCACATTATTTTAGAAATGATGTAAAAGACAATTTAGTAGTTCGCTTTTTCTAACCTTTAAATCTGTAAACTGGAATGTCAACGTAAAAGTAATATTGAAACAAGCATTATTATTCATTATATTACAATATAATAAAATGCTTTTGGTAATTAACTAATTATCATTGCTTTTAGGAAATGAATATGTCAGCGTAGTACGAGACATGTATGTAGTCTATTATTTGATCAATGCTGATTATGGACATGAAGTCCCCACTGAACGTGAGTGTTTGTCATTTTCAATTTTCCTTGCATGTACACAACATATGCCCATTACGCCAACTAGTATTTTTACATTCTCTATTTTCATCATAAAATAATAAGGTACGAAATTAATTTAAGATTAAAATTTTAAAAGTGGTACCTATATTATGTTTATTAAAATAATTATTAATTTATTGAGGATTTGTGTTGTTCATATTTTGAGGGAAAATTACCACTAAACAAATGTAATATATAAGTATTACTATTATTTATACATCATTTACTACACTGTTCTTATATAAAATTTCTTCTGGGCAATAAAAAACAAAAACGTATATTATAATCTAGCACGTAATCTTTCTACATTTATCCTTTTGAAATATTAAAAGACACCAAATTAAATATTATGATGTTGAAATGACAAAGCTCACTAATAATTGAACCTTTTAAGTCAATGGGGGAAAGAAAAATCAAGTACTGTGATATTAATAACGTATTGGAGGAAAGAATTTCACCGAGAGATAAATGACAGAAAATCAACGAGACACTATTCAATAATTTAGTGTATTCAATTCAAATTGAAGTACAATGGGTATTTCTAAACGATTTATGTTATTGACTTCAAATATGTCAAAGTGAAAAATAAAACTGAGCAAGTGGTGAAAATCAGGCTAAATACAAGTATATGTTTTTCATATAATTTTCATTTCGTATGATTAGGATCTTCCAAATCAAAATCAAGTAATGGTTATTTTAAGACTTTTAATAATCAATCCAGATCTGAATCTGCATTAAAGTGACACTGATACAAATGATCTTATTGTTCTTTCTGGTTCAGAAAAGATAATATAGTTATTTTATAATTTTATTCTTAAGATAATTATTATTTTAAAATAAAATATATTTCGACGTGGCAGTGTCATGAATTGCCACGTGGAATCTCCCTCGGATGCCTTTTTCGCGAGGGTAGAAGAGAGTAGATACTGAAGTGTGGAAGCAACAAATAGATAAGACAGTGACAGCACTTCCTCTGCTATCAACCAACGCGTGTTTACACTCCACTCCTTCAGACACTTTCATCCTTTTTTATTATCTATTTGTTATTTATTATCTTTAAATTATAATAAATATGTTATATGTATTTATAATAGTTTTAATATATATTCGAATTTTTAATCATTTTTGTTTTTAATTTACTGACTTCCCATAATGTTTTTTTTACGAACTATATGTAAGAGTATTTATTTTTTCGGATTTGCCCATAACTTACGATGACATAAATGTTTGATTGCTTCATTAATTTTATCCTTATTGCCTGTGAGAATAAACAGGAAACTGCATCTGGGTGCATGAAATAAGTTAAATTATGTGAACAAACCATAAAAATCATTTTCAGTATAACTTTAAAAAATATAAGAATCTGTAATTTAAATTTCCATTATTTTAGAATTTCAATGTTGTTATTCCTGAGTTAATTATATAAAATTTATTATTTTTAATATATTTATATCTTAATTATATTCATCCATCAATATCTTTTTTTTTCTTCTAAATTCTTCACTTAAAACTCAATTATAAAGTACATTTACATCAAATCTCTATAGAATACATTTTTTCTCTGCCTTATGGTACTTGTTACAAAGTACTAAGTATTAACTATAAATTGCGGGCATTTTGATTTTACCTCGTACGTACTGTGTTGAATCTTTGGGATTTTCATCTGATATTGTTGTAGACATTGATACGATACCATTCTTAGTATACTATTGTTTTTAAAAGACTCTTCTTCACTATTATTTCGTTAACTAGGATTTAAACTTTGGTGTTTCCTTGAATAGTAAATGATTTATTACCACTGTACATAGCAATTAGCCATTAACAATTTTTTTTTCTTTTGAATTATATAAAAAATTCCCTATTAATACAGCTAATGTAATAATATTTTTAACATTTTAACTCATAAAATTATCTTTTAGAAAATCATATTTATGATTTTAGAAAGGAAAAAAAAGCACACACGTAAACAAATTGAAAAATCATGTATTATTTAAATAATACGCTGGAATATACATCATTTTTCCCCATAAAGCCTTTCTTAGTTGGCCGTGTTTGCTATTTTTAAGAGAAAAATACTATTTATAGAACAATATAATGTTTGTTTTCTTTATCACGTGAACTATATATCGCAAAAGAATTTACAAATAATAATTTTCCTTGTAAGAGGGTTTAAACTCTAAATTTCTCAGAATTAATTTAAAATTAATAAACTTTATCATTTTTTTAAATTGAAGAAAACTGATTTAAAATGTAAAATATATCAAAATTTTTAAAAACACGTACAATTTAAAAATGCTTACTATATTTGATAATTTAAATAAAATAAAAAATTGTTGAACTCATCTTAAAATATTAATTGTACCTGTAAATTAATTTATCACCGTCATTTTCTTTAAAATAAATAGTAATAATGAATCTAAAAGAAAGTAGCACATCCACCATCTATCATTCAAAACACAACGTCTCCTCTAGCATCCCTAACAAACATCGTAGCTTATAAATCAAGTAGGTCCAAACGACATCGTATAATAATTCCACCGCGCGTGGAATCATCGTAAAAAAATACGTTGACCGTATAATTATACGCCTTGCGTATCTGTATTTGTATCACTTCGTTCGTCGTTTTCTCAGCAAAATCTCTGAAACTCTTTCTCGCTCTATTCTTTCTCTCTCCTCTGTACTTTCCTCGTGTTCTCTTACACACACTTCACGAACTCATCACACCAACACACATATTCTCTCTCTTTCTCTTTGTTTTCCATTTTATCTGTTTGGAGCATTCATTCATTCATTCATTATCTCAACGCAAGCTCTGTAACTTACTCTGTGTATCTTAATGGCTGACACTCGCCGGCGACGATGAAGTTTTCCGGCAAGTCTCACCTTCCGCCGTCGGGCATTGCTTCCAGGACCCTGAACCCTTCGCCGGACTCAGATCTTCAACCGCCGAAGCCTTTTCAACGGCGAAAACCGAAAACTCCGAGGACCCGGTTGAGGATACACGGAGCTCCAGGTGGTAAACGGAGCAGACCTGAAACCCCTCTGTTGAAGTGGAAGATCCACGAAGGGAATGAGGATCCACTAGACGAGGACCAGAAGTCCTCGGTCGCCGGGTTCCGTCAGAGAACGTGCCGGAATGCGAAGAAGCTACCGGAAGTGGCCGTGTCGGCGCGGAGACTCGCCGCCGGGCTATGGAGGTTGCATCTGCCGGAGATGACAGCGAGCGATGGCCGGAAACGGTTGGGACTTCAGGTTCAGGTAACTTGGGTTACCCTTTCGGGTTTGAGATCCCTCGGTTTGTTCGTTCCATGTGGGTGTTGTTGCATCTTGCATGTGTTTGCTTTTTCTGATTTAAAATTTTGATTTTGCAGCTATATGCTGCTTCTACTACTTCATCTACTGTATTGTAGCGTCCCCACCATCTTGAAAATAATTATGGATTATTTTTTAGCCTTATTATTCTATGCTGATTTTGTTGTTGCTTGATTTTGAAGCGTGACTTTTGATATTTTAATCTTCAATTTGTAATCATTATTTTACAGGTTCCAGTTTTGGTGTTGAGAGTATAAAGCTTTTTTTTTTTTACTTTACCATTTGGGTTGGTCGTGATTGATGTAGTTATAGCGGAAACCTAGTTGTTGTTCTTTGTAATGATTAGAGAAATGAGTCGAAGTAGAGTTTGTGTGTGTAGATTATTGATGTTATGTTGTAGTTGTTGGTTGTATGCTTGTTTGTTTATGAGTTTTCCTCCCTAAAAGCGAATATGTGTTCGGGGGAAGGAAGGATTAGTTCATTACGTTCTTGCTTCATTAAATTGTAGCCTTCCAGGCAGCATTAAATATTGGGTCATGTTTGGCAGAATGCCAAACAAACATGTTGTATCTGCTGTGTTAGTTACAGTGGCATTATGAAGTCAAATTCTTTTGTGCTTTGCTTGAGAGTAAGTTGGGACTTAGGTTGGACATATTGATGTATATATTCCTTGTGTATGAGATTTTCTGTTATTAGTTTTGTGCATTCCGGTTGAATTAGAGAATTGATTATCTTCCATGCACGTTATTTTCTTCATCATTTTCAGGTCGTGGTAGTTGATTTGCATTATTAGCTTGATAGATCTTGATTCTTTTACTTAACTTATCTGCAGCATGGAATTGGCCATGTAGGCCTCCAGTTCCTTGATCGTCCAAATGGCATGACTCACGGTTCTGACCTGAAGAATCTATCTCAAAGTCCTCGTTCCATATTTGGGACGAAGAGCCACTTCTGTGAGGTATGATTTTTATTGTTACCTCAATATAACCACTAGAAATTTTCCAGCTTTTCATAATTGAAGATTATTGAGTGAAAATCATATATATCTGATGATTCAAGTCAAGTTAAAACCGCACCCTTTACTGCAAGATGATCTCATTACCTGGTCTGTTATGCAATTACCTGTTTTAATCATTTTTGAGAAAAGGACATCATTTCATTAAGTTACAGGTGGCAACAAACTATAATCACAGTGACGTGTAGTTTGTGATTTAGTATTGGAATTTTTTAATAAAATATCAAAGGCCCGCTCATGTGAACACTTACAAACATACATATGCATACTGATTATTGCATAGATCCATGTTATTTATAAAAGTAAAGGTGTGTGTACCTTGGCTTGCACAAAGCACTTTCCACATTTTTCATGTAAACCTACATGGTGAAATTAGCCTTTAAAATTGCTGGTTGAGCATAGGGCTTAAAAACGTTCTGCTTTTACACTAAAGTAAAAGACTAAACTATTAAAGTGCTAATTTTAAACCTACTTTATGTTATTCAGCTTGAACCTTTCCAGTTTCCCAACACCGAAATGGAGGGTGCAACAAAATGGGATCCTTTATGTTTAAAAACATCAGATGAGGCGCAGCATATCTACAGTCACATGAAACTTCTTGACCAAAAGGTGAGTGCCGTATCTGTTGTATCTGCACTTGAAGCTGAACTAGAGCAGGCTCGTGCACGAATTCAGGAGCTTGAAAATGAACATCGCTCCTCCAAAAAGAAACTCGAGCATTTCCTGAAGAAAGTCAATGAGGAGAGGACCCAATGGCGAAGCAGGGAGCATGAGAAAATCCGTGCATACATTGATGACATTAAGACAGAGTTGAACAGAGAGAGGAAAAGTCGCCAAAGGATTGAAATTGTCAATTCGAGGTTGGTAAATGAGTTGGCAGATGTCAAACTATCTGTGAAGCGTTACATGCAGGATTATGAAAAGGAAAGGAAGGCCAGAGAATTGATTGAGGAGGTGTGTGATGAACTGGCCAAGGAAATTGGAGAAGACAAGGCCGAAGTTGAAGCATTGAAGAGGGAATCTATGAAATTCAGGGAAGAAGTGGAAGAAGAGAGGAAAATGTTACAGATGGCAGAAGTATGGCGTGAAGAACGTGTTCAAATGAAGTTGATAGATGCAAAAGTTGCTCTTGAAGACAAGTATTCACAGATGAATAAACTTGTTGCAGATTTGGAAACTTTTCTTAAATCAAAAAGCTTGGATCCAAACACAAAGGAGATGAGAGAGGCACATTCACTTCAAAAAGCGGCAGCTGCAATGAACATTCAAGACATCAAGGGATTTTCATATGAACCCCCTAATTCGGATGATATTTTTGCCATTTTTGAAGATGCAAATTTTGGTGAACCAAATGAGAGGGAGATTGAACCATCTGGTTCGCACAGTCCTGGTAGTCATGCCTCTAATATTCACACTGTGAGTCCTGAAGCCAATGTAACAAGTAAGCATGGCATTCAGAGGCGTTCTGACGTATTTATGGATGATAATGGTGATATAGAAGGGGATGAAAGTGGATGGGAAACTGTGAGCCATGTTGAGGATCAGGGCTCAAGTTATTCAGCAGAAGGGAGTGCGCAATCTTTGAACAGGAATCATAGAGAGAGTAATGTCTCCAGAAGAAGTGTACTTGAATGGGAAGAAACTGCCGATGAGGAGACACCAATAACTGAAGTTAGTGAAGTATGTATACCAACTAAGCAATCAAAGAAGGTATCTTCCATAACAAGGCTTTGGAGGTCATACCCAAATAATGGAGACAATTACAAGATAATCTCTGTGGAAGGACTGAATGGGAAACTCTCAAATGGAAGGTTATCTAATGGGGTCATGTCTCCTGATCATGGATCAGGTAAAGGTGGGCTGAGCCCCCAAGACCTTCTATATCAGTTGAGTTCCCCTGAGTCAGGAAGTCCACACGCCCATCGAGGCATGAAAGGATGCATTCCTCGCGGCACACAGAAGAATAGCTTGAAGGCCAGACTTTTGGAGGCTAAAATGGAAAGCCAGAAGGTTCAGCTGCGCCATGTTCTTAAACAGAAGATATAGTTGGGAGCAAAGGCATGACACAGATTGCTTTATCTGTCTAATTGATAAATGACTGAAAAGCAGTGCATTTTAGATTGTGAAGATGCAGCAAATATGCTGCTTATGGAAAAACTGCTTAGAATTGTTGAGGGGCCATGAATAGATGCACATTCTCTGCCTCATACTAGTCCTTGTTTGAGTTCTTCATTGCCATTCGTATTAAGCATTAAGCAGATAATCTTTTCATTCCCTTGTGCCAAATACCTCAACCCTGGAATATTTTGGGAAATAGCTCAATTTGTAATCTGTGATGACAAGAAAAATTATGAGAAGCATGTAACTTATGTTGTATTCAGAGGACAAATGTCAAGGGAAAACAGATCTTCATAAAATATAAATGATAGCATTATCTGTTCTGTTCCAGATTTTGATTTTCTGTCATTGCAGATTGTATCGTAGGTGGTGACACGGATGATTTGTGATCGGGACAGAAAAATGTCACTTCATAAGTATGCTGGGTCCATTCCTCTTTTTTATAATAAATGTTGTCTAATTATCCAAGAAAAAAATAATTGAATTCATATTACTTTTTCTGCCTTGGTTTGCTAATTATTGTCGACTCAAGCTCAAGTTTGTGGTTGGAAAAGTTCTAAATCTTGAATTAAAAGGAATTTCCTTAAAATACTATGATTAACGCATTATAAATAACTTTAAAAAACTATGATTTATGGATCACTAAATAATACTTTAATTATTTTTTGAGAAAATAATAAATAAATAAATTGTTTATTTCTTTGTTTGGTAAAATGGGTCAGGCTCCACAAACTAAAGCCTAAGTAATATGATTAAGTTTTTTTTATTGATTGAAATAATGAATTTTTACAAAAATTTATAAAATATTACTAGATTTTAATTTATTGATAATATTAAATGTTGTAATTTTATTAAAATTATTTATTATTTTAATATATAATAAAAAATTTACATACAATAAAAATTGATGCACATTAAATTTAGATTAAAAATTATAAAATGTTACAAAATTTATTATATTAATAATATTAAATATTATAATTTTAATAAACATAATATTTGTTATATGTCTTTAATCATGTGTAAACAAATTATTATAAGATAATACATTTATCAATTATTAAAAAAAAAGGCTGTGTTGGACATGGAGTGAGGTGAGAAGAAAAGGGTAAAGAATCCTCCAAAGTCACCAACATCTTCTCTATCACTCTAACTCTCTCACCCGCCAAAAATCAAAATGATTTATTTTCAATTCCCTCCATTTCCCCGAAATTAAAATCCCTAACCCCTAAAGATGAAATCAATTCCTTAGATCTGTTCTTTCTTTAGATTTCCTTCAATGGCGGACTCTGAAATTCCCTCGTTTTCTCTGGGGTTGGATCTCGCTCTCGACACGCCTTCACATTCCCCAATCAATCCACCTCCTTCTCCCACACCACAAGTCTCCGACTCCGATCCCGAAACCGGACCCGACCCGCCCCGCCGAATCCTCAAACGCCTCCGCCGAGGTCCCTTGAAACAACCCGACCCGACGCCGTCCGTCGACGCCGACGACGACATCGAGGAGTTCTCCTCGCAGGACAATCTTGATCAAGGTTAGGTAATTTTATCCTTTTCTGCTGTTGAATTTTAAATGATATTTTGAATTGTGAATGATTTACTAATATTTTTGTAATATTAGTGCATGCTTCGTGGAATCGTTCTGTGTGTAGTAGCTCAAAAGTGTCGTTGAATGGTTCTGGAGTTTTAACTCCTCATCCACTTAGTAACTCTAGGGAGAGGGAGAGAAAAAGAAAGCATGCTTCGGATATTTCAGCTTCTTCTAGGTTAGAGAATGACCGTAATGATTTTGTCTTTCCAAAGTTAACCACTAGTCCCCTTCGAAGGTTTCAATTGATCGATTCCGATTCTGAGGATTCATTAGGTGAAGATGTTAAAGTTAGTGATAAGGAGGTAGCGTGTAACCGAAGCAATCCTTTGTCATCTTCATTTGAACAAATTAGGAGAACTGCCCTTGATGCGAACCAAGATCAGGATCTATGGAAAGATTTTTCTCCGGTGAAGAATGTTTCTGTCCCGACACCTGCCTTCAATGAGTTATGTGAAGAATACTTTCGATCTGCCAATGGCAAGGAAGCGAAGAAATCAAGGGTTGATGTGTCTGAAAGTCATAATGAGGGATATCCTGGGGTCAATTCTAGCTGCCAAAGGGATCAACAGCTATGGGAATCAGCAGACCCTCTTATTCCTGCTCATCGTTATTTTTTCCATGAGGATCCAAGAATTCGGCACTTAGTTTGCAGTCGCCTGCATAATTTTTATCCACTAGGTGTTGTCAACAGAGTGAATCAACAACCTAATGTCTCACATATTGATTACATGTAAGTTGTAACCTGTTTTTATCTTTTGGTAATGATTTTAAAAGAAAATTTTCATCAATTAGTATTTTTTTTTTAAATCTCAGGGGACAATTTAGCAATGGAGGAGGTTCTAAAGTGCAGGGAGTTCAAACAGGTTATGTTAACAACTCAACAAAGGGAAAAAACAAATCAAATAATTTGATTGGTGAGGAAACTTTTAATGCTTCCGGAGGCTGGGTGGATCCCAAAATTGTTTCCTTTAGCCATGGAGAATCTTCTAGAAAGAAAGCAACAAAGAGAAATAGTGCTAAGAATAATGTCTCAAAAAGTAAAAATAAAACAAACAAATCAAACAAATCAAACTCTGCAAATGTATCACCTGCTTCTGCAAACTGGGTGGAACCGAAGAGCTGCACCAGTACACCAAAGGATGCAGGCAAAAGGCGTGTTCAAGCAAGTGGTCAATCTGCTGGTCATTGGTATACATCACCTGAAGGAAGAAAGGTATGAGAAAAATCTTTAAAATGTTTGATGTCATTAACTGATGGAGTTAATTTACTTTTTTCATGCTGCTAGATGCTGGTCAGAAGAAGTTATGTAAATTTATTTGCTATGTTGTTTAAAATTGAAATGCAAAAAAATCCATGTAGTATGCTGTTTAAGTGCTATATATATGCAGCTAAATTTAAATTATCACATTATATATTGCGATTTTTTGAGGAACTATTGTCATATGATTTGATCTTCAGGATTCTTTTTTTTCTGATCTAGCACTGGATACTTTACATATCTTGTGGTCATTCTTAGAATTCTTGATATAGGTGTCTTGAGTCTCCCTTTAATGGATAAATTTAAACCATATTTTGGCACGTTAAATACATTTTTAGTTACTATAATTATTTTCAATTTTGGTTTTGATCTCTATTTTTTAAAAGATTTGGTTGAGTCTATGTAGTTTCAAAATCACAAGTAATTGGTCCCTGGTGTTGGGACCAAAATCAAAATGTATACATGATGGCAGGGACCAATTCCTAGAGGTTTTGAAGTATGGAGACCAAAAGCAAAATTGAGAAAAATTATAGGCCATAGGGACTAAAAATGTATTTTAATCTATTTTGTCATATAGTATCTATCCATAAGAACCTGATTCTTTATCTTCACACTACAGGTGTATGTTAACAAAAGTGGGCAGGAGTTGACAGGCCGTGGTGCTTATAGACAATATCGGAAGGTACATCTACTTGCATACCATTCTGATGTTTTATTGTCCTTTTGGATATGATGTAGCACTGAATGCCTATGATTCTTACAGGAGAGTGGAGCAGGATTTAAGAAATCAAAAAAGAAAACGGGTGCCAAGAAGACAAATGTCAAGAGAAAGTAAACATTTGATGGGAAGGCATTTATTCCCCGCCTGGTCCACATCCAATAATTTACTTGTGGATCTAATAGCTAGCATTACCCCTTAGGTTCAATTGCCGTAAGTTTCCGGTGTCATGTTCTGGATGGGGACAAGGAAGCTAGTAATATAGCATGCAGCAACACACGAGGAAACTGGTTTAGGGCCATGTTGCTTAGTGAACTTTTAATGCTAAAGAATCATCGCAAGCAGTAGACATTGTGAGCTTATGCAAGTGTACAGTGCACACAGATCCAAGGTCTTGGTTTCATGAAAGTGTAGCTTGAGATAATGATTCTGTTTTTATTCGGATCCACAATATTGTTTCGATTGACTCATCTGATTCACAACTTGATTCTCCTTGCACTTACGATCGAGCTTGTCACTTTGTTAACTTCAAATAATTTCCCTCTGGTATTTTTAGATGAAAGATAATAACTGAGAACGGAATGATAAAAAGAAATTGGGTGAATACTCAAAAAAAGTTACATACTTCGATACTTGAAAAAAACAAAAACTGGCCTTAAAAATTATACAAATGAGACTTATATTTATGTTCAATGGACGGAAGGATTAAACTGTTAGATTTATAATTATAAGGTTCTATTTGTTGACTTTATTTGTCTTAGAGATTAACGAGTTAAGTGAAAACATTCAGGAACTAAATTGGATGTTTATTCAGAAATTTTTAGTGAAGACATCGAGAGGACCTTTTCTTTCCCCTATATTGATTTGACGATATATTTATTCAGAAACTGATTGTTGCATTAATTTTTATTTTGGATCCATGTTTAACATATCTTAATGTACACATACGAAAATAAAAAGCACCCCCACCCGTTCAACCAAAAGAAAAGGAACTTAATTTTTCAAAATCTTTACATCCCTTGAAAATTTAAAAAAAAAAGAATTAAAACATTGAGTTTATTTAATAATACTATTGAACTGTCAAAATATCAGTAAGTTTAGTTAAATGCTCAATCTTCAGGACAGAAAACATAAGCTTGGTCAAACACTCATTTCCTGATGTACAATGCAACTCAAGTGCCCCAAATACAGTATGTACATCTTATAAAAATAGGGGGAAAAAAAACCTACGCATTCATCATGGGTACATATTTACTCCCATGGTACACGAACAAACTAAAGGAATTATGTGACATGAAAAGGGTTAAATAAAAAAATGAAGAGAAAATCATTGGATGTCTTAGAAGAACGGGGGGCCTTAAAAAAACAGCTTGAACCAGTAACTGCCAATGACTTCCCTGTCCCTAGACAGGGAGGAAAAATTGTCCCAAAAAAAGGGTCCACGTTTGTCAAAAGCTATTAGCTAACAACAATTTAAGTCTTCAGTTGATGGGGTATCACCACATCATCGTCTTTATTGATGATTAGAAGCATTCTGCTTGTCTTCTGTAATTGGAGAATCCTTTGGCTTCAATATTCGTTGGCATATTCTGAAAGCCATCAGAATAGAACATTCATTAGTCTTGAGATAAAATCAATGGATATATATAATGACAAACGTGTTAAATTGGAGCTATGAACAATGCTTTGCACCAGCACATGTATAATTCAGACCCAACCAAATGACCATAGTACTCCCCAACATGAAGAAGGAAAAACTGGAAGGTAAAATCATACAGGTTTAAATCCTCTGTCTTGCTCTTGATATCACTTGACCAAAATACCGGATCACAGCTCTTAGGCAAAGAATCTTGTAGCTGCATCTTCTCTCTTAGCCACTGCTCTGCTTTGTTGCACTCATTGTTAATCTGAAACAATAAAGTTGTCCATTCAAAAAGCTGTCACTAAGGGCTGCATCCAAAAATAATATTTATTGGCGTATTTGTTATTGTACCAGTTCTTTATTCTGAGGTGGAAGAGAATCTGCAGACATTCGATGCTCTACAATGCAACTTAGCAAATCTCTTGTAGCTTGGGCTCTTTCTTCTTCATCTTTATACCGATTCTCAATTGGATCCACCAGCTACAGAAGACACAGAATATAAATAAGATGCATGGCATTGGGAAACATGGAAGTTAGAGAAGCAAAAACAACCTGTTTTATTTCTTCTAGTTTTGCTGAATAAGCATGTACAGTTTCATCATCACCACCATCATAAAGCCAATCCTCAGTCTCTTGCAGACTCCTTGATATGCCATCCCTCTCTTGTTCACTTGCAAAGCTCCGATATGTGTTGAAGAGCTGTTCACACAAGCAAATAAAATTAATTGCCAATCCATCATGAACAATAGAGCATACAGTACACACAGAATTTTATAAAATCATTGGTAAGAAAAGATATATAAAGATAAATATTTTAATTTCATATCCTATGCAAATTCGATTACAAATATAACAGCAATACTTCCTCTGCTTCGCAAAGTTTAACCTTACATTTACTCACGTGTCATGATAGAAATCACTAAAAACCAAATCTTCAGTAACTATACAGCAGCCTTTTCTCATTTGATACATTCAATACTTTCACATTTACATAGTAAAAGTTAAAGCTCTAGTTTTTGAAGGAGCACTTCACAGTAAAAAATATGAAAATGAGGAAGAAGAAAGAAAGGATCACCCAATGGAAAGTTATCTTTGTAGCAGAAAAAATGCACCACTACTTAATGCTTATACACACAGAGTATGTGAATCTCAGAAACCAGTCACGTGTACATCTCATCCATCATTAAGATATTGAATCTGTACCTTACTCCTCATTTCATAAACATAAGACTCCAAGGAATTCCTCTTGTCTTTGGTTAGCTCCATTGTTCTGTCATGCTGGGCTAACTGGTGTTCTTTCTCTTGAGCTTCCAAGATCTCAGCCTTGGTCATTCCACCATAGACACTCTCACTCACTGGTATATGAAGGCTTCTGTTAGCTTTATCTTTTCTTGTACCATCAGCCTGTAACAAGGCATGATAGTAATACTTATTTACTCAAAACACCAACATGAATCATATCTGCAATCAAAACAATCTCCACAAGATAAAAATGTACAGATATAAATCACAGATTATAAAACAAAATTGTGACAGACGTGGCACAAAAATCAATGTCAGAAATGACCAGATAATAAAATTTAGCTATATAATTTTTTATGTTTTAAGGATGATTTGCAAGCAATCTCCAATATCTTACATCTTCCATTAAGAAAAAAGTGCAGAAAGGGGTTGGGGGAGGGGGGCTGAGAGCGAGAGAGAACAACATGCGAGTACTTACAGAGTGATGTGGCGATTCACACTTTCTTCTGATATTATCTCCAGTGACACTTTCAACTCTCTCAGAAACAGGTTCAACATCCACTGCTTCAGAATTTGAATGACCATCACCTGTTGTAACTGAAACATCTACATGATCCTCGATCAACTGAAGACAAAAGAAGGTCCACATGCATAGCAAGATCTCTCAGAAAACTAATAATGCAACATGAAGAGATAAAAATGAGTCTTCTTACTTACTGTAGCTGATTCAATACTGACAATACCATGCAAGTTCAGTTGAACTTGAACTTTAATTCTTGTCTTACTTCCATGGGATCTATGGAAAGGACCAATCTGAATGGAAGTGGAAAAGAAAAAGCACAGTTATACATATGAAGATGAATACTTTACATAGAGGGTAATAAGGGTGGGGTGGATAAAAATATAAATAAGAGAGAATTGTACATAAGATGATTTAAACTCCATCACAGCACAATAAAGTTCTGAAGTAGGCATACCTTGAAGCAACTAATTTTAGATGTCCCAGGCGGTACTTCATCTGGATTAGCATAGAATGCTTCTAAGTGGAGCATATTGCTGCACTGAAATGTTAGAATTTTAACACTTGGAATGGGTTGGCCTCTTGGGAAGAGTACATCATTTGACCCTGCACAAGTTGGGCCTTCATTTGATGAAAGTCCAATAGAAAAAGGAAAAGAATCCTGAACCTGAACAAATGAGATAACGTGCATTAATTTACAGAGAATAATACAAACTAATGCAAAATATACTACACAGTAACATAGACACTACATAATGAGCAATTAAAGTTAGATTTATTCCACTTTAAATAGATAAATGAGAAATGGACAATCTAAATACAGAAAAGGAAACTTAGTAACAACTTGGCTCATTTAGTAGTAGTTATATTTTTAAGAATCTACAAACTCAAAAATCTACTTGGCAACATAAATATCATATAGATAAGATAAGAATTAGTGTTTTGTTTCAATATTCTGACCTGATATTCTCTGGAGTGCAAAACAGGACTGAGCATTGCACACTGTAGAGCACAACCACGAGCTACACATTCACTGGCATTCAGTGTTCGGCTGAGTTCTCTCTTAAATAGAGACCTTAATAATCTAGTTATAGCTGGAATTCTTGAACCTGAACCAACTAACTCAACAGAATTAATCTTTTCTAGAGTCAATCCAGCATCAGCTAATGCTTTGTTGCAAGGAACATTAATTCTCTCCAATAATCCTGACGCCAGAGTCTCAAATTCTTCCCTTTTGATAAAGCCTTTAACATCTTTTTCATCCATCAAACACTCAATGTTCAGAGGCGCTTCTGTATTTGCACTCAAAACTTTCTTCAACTTCTCACATGCTGCACGCAGCCTATTACATGCCCTGGCATTAGAATACACGTCAATGCTGTACTGCTCCTTAAATTTTTCTGCAAAATGACTAAACAGAACCTCATCAAAGTCTCTCCCTCCTAAGCTCCTGTCAAAAGCATGTGAAAGTATCTCCATTTTCCCAGCCTGAAATGCTGCAATAGATACCTGAGTATCACAATGACCTATGTCAATAAATGCAACATTAAAAGGAGATGCACGAGGAGAATCTGTTTTATAAACTCCATAACTAAGAGCAGTTGCAGTGCAATCATGGATCAACCTCAAAGGCTTCAACCCAACAATTGTAGCTGCATTGAGATATGCCTGTCTCTGCAAGTTGGTAAAGTACGAAGGAACCCCGATAACACAATCTGAAACCGAAGTCCCCAAATCTTTTTCGGCTATAGTCTTCAAGTGAGCAAAGAGCATTGCTGCTATTTGCACCGGGGTAAACGTACAAGCCTCCTTCAAGTATTTCAAGTGAATAAGAATGCCACCATCAGGGCCTTCAGATGTTTCAAAGGGTAGCATTTTTAACTCATTTTGAACACCAAAATCTGCAAATTTTCTGCCTATAAGTCTTTTGACTTGAGATATTGTGGACTTTGGGTGCATCAAAGCAGAAACAGCACCAGCTGAGCCTAGAAACCTTTGCTTCTCCCCAAAGCAAACCACAGCAGGGGTTTCACGTTTTGATTCATCATTCAACAAAACATCGACCCCACGTTGCTTCACTGCAGCAATGACACAGTTCTCATTTCCAATGTCAAAACCCACCACACTCATTTCAACTCACTCTATTCTTTAACCAAACTACAGCAACTAAACCAATCCAATGCAGCTTATCTACTTGACCCACAATTCAAAATTCAAAATTTTCAGCAGCAGGTTCCACAAATCTGGGCCAGCCAGAAGCACAAGCTTCACACACAGTTAACAGCACATCAAATGAGAACTTTCATTGGCTATCATGTAAAACTATCAAAACCAATAAGTTGATACGATAAAAAATGAAAAGGTTTTGAATAAAACAATGGTACGGAGCTGAAGAAAAGCTTTGAAATTAAGTATCACAAGAAAGTCATAGGAAAAATAAAATAAAATTTTGAGAGAATGCAAAATGAATAACAGTAAGAGAGAATGGAAGAAACCTGAATAGGTTTGAGAGAAAGAGATGAAAGGTGGAATGTAGAAGCAGTTGGAGACTGCACAATTGCGTTGTGATGGCAGAGAGACAATCGCCACTTCACTCGCTCAAGCCATTATATCCAAATTAAATTATTGACACCCTATCCTCCAAAAGCATTCAAAAACCACGATCTTCAACCACCAAATTTTACAAGAACAATTTTAAGGTTGATTTGGAAGAATTTATAGAAAAAAATTTATGTCTGTCAAAAAATATTTAATTTATTGATATAAATCTGTTTTTAATTTATTTTAAGAAAATTTATAATTAAATATTATTTTATTTAATAAATATTTAATTAAGTTATATATTCAAACATATTATAATTTTTGTATTTTTATATTTATAAATTACTAATTGTTAAATAAAAATGTTATTAAATATTTGTTATATTTTTAAAATAATAAATATATTTTATTTAATACTTATTTTATAAAATAATAGAAATTTTTTTGAAGATATAACAAATTTTATTTAGCAATTATCAGTTTAAGGGATTAAATATGTAAAACTAATCATTATTGTTGTTAATCACCTTCTCAGTTTTCGTTCTTGAATTTTTATTTTAAGAGCATTGTGATTTTATGTTAAAAGATTATTAGGAAACCTCTCAGACAAAATTATAAAATAACTCTTGAATTAAGGGTACCCTTAATATTGTATGTTGACGTTTGGTAGTTGTGGCTTTTATCGAAACAATTTTCACTTTTCAGCCTATTTGGAATATTACATAAATAAAATAAAAACATTTCCCAAAATAAGTGAATGAAAAAGTAACAAATGGTGCATGCTCAAACGAGAAACAACTCTTAAGCTCTGTTTGGATGAAAGGAGAAATTAAAAAGAGAGAAATAAATAAATAATGAATATAGTTTTAAGTTATTTGAATGAAGAAAAATAATAATTGATTTTTTTAATTCTACATAATATGATAAACTAAAGTGAAATTAAAAATACTTCATTCATTGTGACCAAATCCTTATTCTTTTCTCTAGTTGTCTTGTCTTTGTCTGTTACAACCTTTTTTCTTTCATTCTCTTTCGTCACGTAAAATACTAAAGAAGGAAGTGATTTTGAATCAAATGTTGTCTTTCTTCCACAATCCTTTTTTGACAAAATCTTGCAAAACAAACAATACGTTAACTTCCATACGAGTGGTGCCCACAAAAATTGTGCTGAAAAGTCGTGAGGTAAGAGCCTTCATGAGATTCCTAGAACAATTCCTTATACCCACCTCAAAATAAGATTATCCTAAAATAAGTAATTAAGAATGCATCTTATCTCTATATTCAATTTAAAGTAATTAAGAACGTATCGAAATTCAAATTTAATAGTATCGTGTGATTTATATGAATAATTTCATTTAAGGAAATAATAATCTATCGATTTGGATATGACTCATTTAAAAAAAGGAAATTTAAGAAAAAATGCCCCCGTCAATAATTCCTTGAAAATTTAATCTAGCAGAGCAAACGGTTTACTCATTTTTTAAAAGTGTATTTATTATTTTAAGACTGAAAATCAAGCCACGTTCTTTGCAGCATTATTGATGATACACTCACGAATAGAGATGACTCTTGTATAGCAAATTGGAGTCAATGGAATACACTAATGAGTCTCACTAAATAACACATGAAATTGATCACAATAACATAAAAATGTGTATCAAATAATGTGTTACTAGCTTTTGGATCACCAAATAACCGAATGGCAGTGATCAGTTAATAAGTTAATTTACAATATTAAGTAATAATATACGAGGATGAAGATTAAAAATGCTAGCTAAACTTAATGCTATAATTTGTTAAAACCAATTTATGCATTTTGCAGCAATTAACAAGACTTCTTTAGTAGAACCTCACTCTAGTTACATGGAAGATGTACCTCACCTAAGAATTGGTTAACTCTTAACTCTGAAAATTTTCATGGTAGAGGCCTCTGAGTCTCAGGAAGATGTTCAGCATACAGGTTATGTACCATTTTGACATAGTCATCAATCTTATCAACCTTCCAATTTTCAGTACTTATAGGAGGAAGATACTTGACAGAAAGAGGTGCGGGTCGAACATGCAAACTACCTTTCCTCCATGCTAGATGAATGCCCGTCAGGACCATTGGAACAATTGGAAGACGCGATTGCAGCGCTAAATGAACAAAACCCTGCATCAAAAGTGAAAGAAAAATGGTATATGAAGCAAAACCAAAATGACTGCAGCAAATGAACTGGACTAAAATTCATGTATTCTCCAGATCCATCAAGTAATGGAGAATACCAAAAATATGCTGATTACTATTCCATGATCATCCAATATCTGGTGAAAGATACCCTCCTATGAGTAAATCATCTATAGATTAGTTCCATATCAGAAAGCAAAATATTCTCCATTGTGAATTCTTCAATACCAAAAGAATCCACCTGAACAAAGCAAAAGCAGAACAACTCAGATACAATAACTCAATAGTTCAAATTCTGTTTGTTTTCTGAGGAATCTTATAAAAAAATGACCAACAACAACACAAAACCACGTACTTTAAATGGGACACAATTTATACACTAAAACCCGTTTCTGTGTTACATTGCAAAATGAATTAAACAACCAAATAACATCTGAAGATGAAGCAAAAGTGAACAATTGTACAAAAGAACACGACCAACCGATAAAGTCCCGTTCCTTTCTCATGAAACTGAATGGATAAAACCAAAAACTTAAAACTTCCCTTCAGTCATCAAAAAGCTTCAAGCTTTCATGTCAGCACTCAAAATGGGAAAGTGGAATTATTTTTCTCCTTGTTTTACATTCTGAATGGACTACTTTATCGGTTTTATAAGAAGCCAAATAAACCCAAACAACAAGAGCTAGAAGAAGACCCACCGAACCCTTCTCACCAAGTAAGTGACTTTGCCTCCCTCTCAGCCCAAAACTTTCCCGAGAAAATTCAAGAAAATGAAGGAAACCAGAAGAAGACAAGTATATAAGTAAAGCTGTTGGAGAAAGAAGCAAAACCACAAACGAAGGCAGAGTAATGACAAATAAAAAATGTATGGTTACGCTTAGAAGAGGAAGAGAGAGCCTGTAGAATTGAGCCTAACACATCAGATAAGAATGTAATATAGCAGTGAAATGAACTAATAAGCAGGTCACAGCTCACAAGTACCAAAGGAAAATGATTTTCTTTTTCTTCTTTTTTTGACGAATAAAATGGGACAACCTTGATACCTTGTTGCTTTTTTATTTTGAGGGGGAATTTTTAACATACATAATTAAAAGCTTAAAGTGACTGAAAGTTTATAATAATGATGATATTTTTAATGTCATATATAGTTGATTACTGCATGCTTAAATAATTAAACTATTCTTAAACCTTTCGAGTATAGCATTTGTTTTTGTATTTTTATACTTTGTTTGATCAATTTGTAAAAATAATTTACATTTTTTATTAATTTTATGACAATTATAATTTTTAAAATCATTAAATGAATATTCATGATACCCTTCATATATTTTAAAAAAAAAAACTGTTTTTAAAGAAGGGCATGTTAGATGGGATGTATTTTGCATGTGGTGTTTTGACTTTTAGAACACTTTAAGCTTTTGGGGATTTATTAAATTATTAGGAGTATCCCTGTCATGATGGTTAGGTGTTTTTGAGCCACATACCGTTGGACTACCTCTCGCATCTGTCTGTACTTTATATATCATTTTCTAGTTCATTCAAAATCGATTGACAAATGTTGTTTTTTTCACCATTTATTTTCCAATGAATTCAAGCTTAAGATGAACAGAGATTCCTCATTTACTACTAATTTTAAATTGATTTTATGTTAGAATTGCAAATAATCTTTTAATTGAAAATCGTTGGATTATAACTGAACTCACCATTTCGATCTTCCATGGCATAACATCACCAGAAGTGTTGCAAGGCAAGGGATTGATGAAAACTAGTTTATGTACTTCCAAGCTGTTTTTAATCTTTAGAACTGGTGCAACGCTTCAAACTCTAGCTTTAATGAAAGTTTAAATATTTTGATTCAAATTTAATAATTCGAAAAAGAAATATGTGTTTGCAATGATTTATGAGTTCTAATAATAATTTTTAAGATAATCTTTCATTAAAGCTACATAATTTACTATATCAATGAATTTCATAACTCATGATTAAATTTTCATTTTAATAATTGCTTCATGTTCTATTAATTTGTAATGTGAGTTAAGGAATATCCATTTTATTTATATATGATTAAGTTTACATTGTAATTTAAACAATGTTAGCTTTGAGAAATGAGACGGTAAAGTTAGGATTTATTTGATAATAAATTAGCACTTCATCATGACTCATGAATTAATAAATAAATAAATTTAAGGCTAAAAAGTAAATATATTTAATTTAAACATAATTTTTTGATAAAGAATACATAAATATACTTTAAAATTATAATTAAATCGTAATTTTTATCTCTTATGATATGTGCTTTGATTTTTAAAATGATAATACTTATCTCTTATTCTTTTATTTTATGTATTAATAAATTATTTATAAAATAATTATTAATATTTTAAATATATTAATTATTAAATTCTATTATATCTTATTATAAAATTTGTACTATTTATAGTCACTTATACAAGTAAATATATTATTCATTTATTTGATATATAAGATACTAATTAATATTATAAAAATTTTTAAAATAAAATATAAATTTATGAAATATAATTATTTTTATTAATTTTAATAAATTAGTAAAACTTATATTTACAATTAAAACAACTCGCTAATCAAGCAACATTATTTTATTCAACACAGAGAGGTTGTGTTGAAACTCATTATTAAAATTTTTTAAAATATTATTTAATAAATTTGTACACATTGTTACTCTTAAATTTTAAGGAATAATATTTTTTTTAGACCAATATTTTTTTTTCGGGAAACAATCTGTTCTAACTTATACTTTATTGTTATATTTTTACATAAATTTGCATTCATTAAGACAAAATTATTATTTTAAGTCTTTAAAAATAAGTTTAAATGATAATAATAATATATTTGTATTAAAAATATAATAATTATTTATACTTTTATATTTTTTAA